CTCTCTCTCTCTTTCAAACCCCTGTTTCCTTCCCTTCCTTTTCCCTTCCCTCTCTTTCCTGCCTGCATGTCTATCCGTCTGTCTCCATCTCTCTTGTAATGGCCAAAATTAAACTGTTTGGAGAGAAGTTCTAAATTAGTTTTAGCCTATCTTTCATATGCCGTTTGAATTTTACCTTTTCATTTTGTTTGGCCTGCAAATGGGACATAGTACCTTTAAGTAATATTGTTGATTTCAAGGAATCGTCTCGCCTGAAAGAAATTTTATTATACAATTTTTTTTCTGTTAACAATTACGGATTTTTAATTTGAAAGAAAATTTGCACCAAAAAAGCTGAAATCTCAGTTACTTTAATTCAGTAGATCATTTGATGAAAACTCACACAAAATTGACCAAGAACAAAATCATTAAAAATACAGTTACACGTATATCTCGCTTTGAGGGGTGAATACATGAAACAATAAAAAAAAAAAATATGCTGAACTATCAACATAAATGTAACAATACAAAAAATGAAACAACAATTTTAAGTCGAAACCATTCATCCAGCTTTGACGTGTTTCAAACATTACAATTCATGTTCTAGGTTCTAACCTAATCAGAAGTGCGACAGGAAAACAAAGGCAGTGCTATTGAGTACCGAAGCTGTGATGTCATCAAAATCTATTTTTAGAATTTCTCAATTTTTTCTTCATATTCCGAAAGAACATAAAAAATAATGTCCAAATGTCGAAAATCGATTAAATATGTTAAGTATTGGCTGAGATATGACCATCTGAATAAATATACTCCCCATAGGAACTCAGTGTTATATGCTCTGGCTCCTAATGGTTAGGAGCCAGAGCATATAACACTGAGTTCCCATAGGACATATATTCATTCAGATGGTCATATCTCAGCCAATACTTAACATATTCAATTGGTTTTCGACATTTGGAAATTATTTTTGACGTTCTTTCGGAATATGAAGAAAAAAAAATTGAGAAATTCTAAAAATAGATTTTTGATGACGTCACACTTCACCACTCTATACCTGCGGAATTGAGTAGTAGGGTAAATGGAGCAAAATTAATTAAGCCAATATAGGGCAATCCAACCCTTATAATAAGTCGTGAATGTTTTAAATGCCGTCTGTACTAGTTTGCCTAGGAGGGATTAGTCCACCCAGTGTGGTCACTGACAGGTGGTTATCTCATCAACTCAGCTCTCAATTCACATAAGAAAAAGGGGATCACGGGGGACCAATGGTCACCGATTAGGCATTGTTTCTATATAGAGGGAGCAAGTAGCTACAGGTAGTACAGTGGGGCTTTAAATTGAGATCTCCAAGTCTACATTGGAATCTCAAATTGGCAGTTTGGTCAGAGTTTCGTGACGTAGTGGCGGATATTAGAATTTAAAACTACAGTTTTTATGAAAGGTGACTTGAAGTCGTTGCTCTATTAATCCAGATGAAATTAAATATTATTCCATGGCTTATCTCTAATCACATAATGAGTACATCTATTATCTACCAATGCCCTTGGATAAATGGACTGTAGCTCGGAATTAATCTGGATCATTTTCTGCCATCGAGCAAGGATAAATATTTGGGAGCGTCGGCAGTCATCAAGAATGTGTAATTTTCTCAAATCCTTTAAATCATTTTCAAAAGATGCAATTTGGTGGTATAATAAAAAAGAGATTCCTTTTGGTTGTGTTGATGGCCGACTTACTTTAGTGGTGTGGCAATAATTTCTGTTCTATCTATGGTAATTATAATAGTTACCAAGAATTTTAGATTTTGCATCGGTAAAGGATTTCATGAATCACCCACAATGAAAGGAATACAACGATCATTATGACATCATCACCAAAGTATCAAACTCAGTACACTAAACCTCCTTTGAAGAAGATCGTAATAAAATTGTCCTTAATCCATTTCTCCTTCAAAAATGATGACAAACGAAAACGACTTAAACAATTTGGGGTCTTCCATTAACTGGAAAGGATTGAAATGTTTACGACATATTCATGCATTACAATAGTTATAAACCCACACATTTATTTGCGGATTTGCGATTTAGAAGATTTTTTTTTTCTTCTGAAAACAAACACGAGACAAAACAAAAATCATTCATCAATGCAACGGCACTATGCATCGCGATTATTCATGATTGTAATAAACTATTTATAGAGAGGGCGGTATACAAATCGCAGAATGCGGATGAGTGGGTGCTCTCGACTCTGACACCCACCGCCCCTCTAAAATGTGCTGCGTACTTTGGGCGAGGTGAAAATGATACTATATAATTATCTCAATACCATATCTCTTTTTCTCCATATGAATGAAAATATGTCAAAATGAGTTAAAACTTTGACTTCCAATTCCAACTGCAGCCCCATACAGACTAAGATTAAAGGTAAAGACCAGTTTTGGAAACGCATCCCTTTTAAAAAATGAAATGGAAGCTCTTATTACCAATCATGCGAAACAGGGCCCTATGAATGTCAATAATGTTGTTCCTATGTTCATTTATATGTTGAAGCAAGATTGTTCATGTGCATATAAACAATTATCCTATATGGACTCAATAAAGAAATGAAATGAAATGAAAGAATATGTTTTGACTAATACTAATACAAATTTTGCCGGGAAACCGCCTACTAATTGATATATTGGTAAATTTTTATCTGGAGACATCATCTATACGACCTCCTCGCCGATCCGGTCATCGTGTTTGTGATCGACCGGTATCCCATTCTTGACAGGGTCTATCTTGATGTCTTCGGCCGCGGCATCGTCCTTGACTACGTTCTCGTACTCCATTCCCTTTTGGAGTAAAAAGGTAATGAAGAGCATTGATTGTGGATGTGGAGGGGGGGGGGGGGGTGGAGCATATATTTGTCTGCAAAATCCGAAAATCGCACTCATTGACCCCTCATTCATCCTACTAAGAGAGCCATTGTTCATGATTTGACATATATGGTACATTACGAAGGGAAGCAACATGTATGAGGGAAAGTACCGAAAGACGTCATAACGTTAAAAGACGGGAGTTACTGCATACCTTGTTTGGCGTTCAACAATAAGGGATAGAGCAGATAGAGCAACGTCGATCTGGCGCTGTTCAGTGGCTGCCGGGCTCACGATCAATTGGGCAAAAAGAATTTCCATTTTCGGTTTAACATAATAAAATTTGGAGTGGACTTTAAAAAATTATTATTATTATTATTTGCAATTCCACTGAGACTAAGACAATGCGTAACATGGAGAGGGAATCAAGAATGTAAAAGTTATTAAAGTTCAATACTTGTATGTTTCTGAAAGTCAAGGTATTTTTGTGTCAGTCGCTATTGACAATGAACCCATACGTTTACAATGGTGAGGTAATACCGTGACAGATTATTAACTTGTATCTTCTCACCTTGACGTAGTTTTCACCTACCCCGCATCGTAATGGAATCTTCCACTTCTTAGGAAGACAGCAATACATTATGTCGACCACTTGACTTATCAAACGGGGGTCAATCTTTCTTGGGTCCGTCGCACCTACATACATATGAAGAAGTGAGGGGGGGGGGGGGGAGGAAACTCTTCACATTAATAAAAGCTTTTGTCACGCCGATCGATTTTTGTCATTTTTTTAATCGCCAGTTTGCCTCATTTAGACTGATTGATCCTCGTTTTTTTCAGGAAGAGGAGAGAGAGAGGGAAGATTATAAACGTTTGAAGAGCGAACAAGAGAGGGAGGGATAGAGAGAGAGAGAGAGAGAGAGAGAGAGTCAGACAGATAATATATTAGATGAAGCTGTACTAGCATAATCACATATTTGTCATAAAACATGCCTTTTAATTTATTCGTTGAAAGGGGGTTACTTATTGTTATGCCAAGTGAATCTCTTACTAGCTTTTGATTTGTCCTATACATTTGACCAATCGGAGAACGGGAACTGAACCTCTTACTATCTTGTGACGAATCCAATTACCGGGGTAATAATATATTTATAAAGCGCTTAGCGACATTTGTGATAAGCGCTATGTAAAAGCTAAACATTATTATTATTATTATTATTATTATTATTATTATTATTATTATTATTATTATTATTATTGTGATCGGACCCCTCTTTGACCAACCAGAGACATGGAACTTAGTTTCCTACTATCTTGTGATTGTCCAATCAGAGACTTACAACTCACCGGTTAGAAAGCTGATGAGGAGAGCTGTGACGACAGTAACTAACCAGGATGCAGCAGCATACCATGTATAGGAGAGAGTGTAGAGGGCAGCAACAGCTGGTCTGTTGGAGAATAATTGATAATCGGAGATAGAACCAGAAGTGACACTCTTGAGAGGAAAAATAATCATCAGAGATAGAACTGACATTTGACATAACAATACGATAACAATGTTAACGATGTTTCATGAAATGTAGTTAAGAAAAAAGTGGGTTGTCATTGTGTTTTATTCATTGTCAAAAATTATAACAAAATGACAAAGGTTTTACTATTTATAAGCCACACAACAATGGGACAATACACAAAATGGCAAAAACACGATCGCAAATACATTGCAGAAATCAAGAACAGGATATTCCAATAGCCTTACGTATAACGTATATTGCAATATAAACATAATACAGTGACGTACATGTAATACGTATTATCGGAACAGGAGTTGATTTCTCGATAGTGTTTGAGGTTTTAAAAAAATCACACTAGACTAACAAAATCGAGAGTTTTTGAAGGATGAATATTTTCGATGTCCTAAGTAATAATACTACTGAAATAGAGAATAAATAACGGTAGGTTATCTTGTTGCCTTTTTGTTTTGTCATCAAAATTTTTGAACTGATCTGTATGCAGGCAAATGGGACTACATAAACAATGTCAGACTGAAATCCTTTTGCCTAAATATTACACTTTATAATGCTATAGTTATAAATATATACATTAAATATAGATGAAAGAGCTCATGAACTGTGTAACAATTATTAAATTAGTGGTTACTACCCATTCAATTCATTTGAATAACAAACTTATACCTCTCGTCAACCATTGGCTCTGATGTCATGAGTATATCGAGTGTAGTAGCGCCACCTGTTGCCAGCTCTGTGACAGTCGATACGCCGTCATCGGGCGAGTGAGGGCCATAGCCGGTAGAATTGTAGAGGTTCGACGTGTCGTTATAGAGGGTACACCCAGAGGTAGAGAAAGAAGGGGCGGGGTAACTGGGAGGGTATACCTGTGCCCCTATACCAACCCAGAAGGAGAAGAATAACCCAATCAAAGTCCCACAAAAGGCACCCTTGTAGAATAGGGAGAAGTCAAAAACAAAGTACAACGAGTAAGCATGTATTGACTAGGGCAAACAAAAGTGGTTATTTGTTCCTTTTATTGGCCTTGACGTTAAAATAGTAAAGAACGAGACTAACATAAGTTTATAACGATATTCCCAGGTTCAAAACAATAATATTCTGATTGATTTAGTAATCGCACTATTTCCTACTTTTCGCCAGTTGTCACAAGTTTCTTTGGCATGCATCCATGTATTGCTTTGCCAAATGCAAACATGTTTAATGATTCTAGCAAGTAAAATGAAATACTTTTACCCTCTTGGAAAACTTTGGAATTTATATATTGCATTTGAATTGACGAATGATATGTTTATTCTAATGGGTCGCGACATTAAAATGATACTAATGGATGTGTCACAGTCGAGTGGTTTAAGCACTAGACTTGAAATGCAAAGGGCATGTGTTCGATACCCAACACGGCACTAATATCCTTTGCCAAGGCATTTATCTAGTTTTGCCACTCAATACCCAGGAGAAAAATGGGGACCTGGTAGGATGACGAAAGCCATTGGGTTAGTAATTGTCATAAGCCCTCACAGTGATCCTATGGTAGAAATACTCCCCAGGGAGTGGAGATGGTGCACATTGTGCTTGAATGAATCAAATGACAGGAGTAATAATGTCTGTAAAGCACTCATAGAAGTTATTTTGTTTTAAGTGCTATATAAATCCAGATTGTTATTATTAATATTAATATATATCGTACCTTAGAGTTTGTCCATGGAAAGAACATTCCAGCACTGAAGAGTCCTAGCGTTGGACCTCCAAACATACTGAAGAAGCTCAGCACCGTCTAAACGACACACAAAAACATTTTTAGAATGAAATACGGAGATACACATGATAAACCTGGTAAACCTGATGAATGGACGATGCTGTGCAATGGGTCGCGTAAAACATTATGTATTTTTTCGATTTATTTCATCCGAAAATATTTAGTATTTGTATATGATATAATAATTGACAGTAGTACATTTTAGTAATATGACATTTTGAATGAACCAAACACGTACATGTATGTCGTATACGGGAGTATTATATACATCTCATTGAATCTCGTACATATGCATTGAGAGGCAGGAGAGGGGGGGTTGAAATTCACATTGAGTATGTCGAGAAAGAGAGAGAGAGGGGGGGGGGGGGGTATATAGGGGAGGGGCAGAGGGGAGGAAAGAGAGGGGAGAGAGAGAGAAAAGAGAGAGAGTGGGAGAAGATATAGGGGAGGGAGATAGGAGAAGAGAGAGAGAGAGAGAGGGGGAGAGAAAGAGAGAGAGAGAGAGAGAGAGAGAGCAAAATAACGGACTACTGTGGCTATGGGAAAATTATCAAACGAGATCTCGGGGCTATTTTCTACCCGAGCTGAAGGCGACATATTAAGATGGTATAGCTTGCTCATAGAAATAGGAAATCATCATCATGATCGTGTTCCATTAAGTGATCATAATTTTCTTGGAGTTTTTGCAAATAATGATAATTAAAAAATTAAGTATGGGACTGCATTTTTGAATTGGAAATCAAAGTTTAAACTCATTTTGACATAATTGTTTTCATTCATATGGAGAAGGAAAACATAATATCACACTTACACTGAGAAGATCACCAAGGAGCGAGGCAAGAAATGCAAACCCAATCGTAAGGATTCCATATGTCAAAGCTGAGGGGGGAAATATGAAAATAACATAATCATATCGAAACGGTTGATCTACGACCATTTGCAAAAGCATTGTTCATACTACTTATTCGTTGTCTTTAATTACAAAAGGAATCTATCGGAGGTAACGGTAGCATGGATGTACAAAAGAGGCATTATTAAAAGCGGTATTATAGAAGAAGTATAATAATGATAATAATTATTATTATTATTATCATTAGTAGTAGTAGTAGTAGTAGTAGTTAAACTAGAAGTAGTAGTAGCAACAACATCAGCAGCATCAGTAGCATTAGTAGAGGTAGTACTAGCAGCAGCAACATCAGTAGTAGCAGTAGTAGAGTAATAGTAGCAGCATCAGTAGCAGTAGTAGAAGTAGTAGTAGTAGTAGTAGTAGTAGTAGTAGTAGTAGTAGTAGTAGTAGTAGTAGTATTAGTAGTAGTAGTAGTAATAGTAGTAGTAGTAGTAGCAGCAGTAGTAGTAGTAGTAGTAGTAGTAGTAGTAGTAGTAGTAGTAGTAGTAGTAGAAGTAGTAGTAGTAGTAGTAGTAGTAGTAGTAGTAGTAGTAGTAGTAGTAGTAGTAGTAGAAAGAGCAGTAGTAGTAGTAGTAGTAGTAGTAGTAGTAGTAGTAGTAGTAGTAGTAGCAGTAGTAGTAGTAGTAGAAGTGCCTCGTATAAGTGAAGAAAATATAATTGGACCTATAAACGTTTGCTTTAAGTAACAAATATTGATTTGGTGGTTGGCATTTCTTGGGTTAAATCCCCTTGATTAAAAAAAACACTACAAAGAACCCCACCCATTAACTTGGATAATTGAGTGTATCTTTTATCACTCAGTCCCGGCCAACAAGGTTTAATGACGTCTTCAGTTGTTACAGCTGCCACGGCGTTCAAACCCGATGAGATTGTACTGAAAATATAGATATAGATATCGAAAACAATGTTAGTTGGAACGAGAAAATATAGCTTGTGAAAATGGTACAACATCTTGGAATTTCTTTGACATTAGTCCTCTTCTGGTGTGATAGTTTCATTAAATTCAATCTTATACGTATTTCGGTTTCGAATAAACAAAAAAGTGTGAAAGAGAGTGATGCATATACACCGACTTATAAATGTATATTGCACGGTGCCATTAATTGGTGGATCGAGGGGAGGGGGATTGGGAGGGGAAGAGGGGTGGGGTCATATGCCCACCTTAATGATGCACTGAAGACAGCAGAAAGAAAAAGCCCAGGCAACCCAGGATACCGGTGAAATAAATCCAAAGTAAAATATGGCATCATCTGACGAAGCAACCAAAAAACAGAGAATTAAAGATATGTATAACTGTAGGTTTCCGACCAAGTTTGCCGACAAGGTAGTTTAGTAAAAAAAATAAAAATAAAAAATAAATTAAATAGCTTATACAAAAAATCCCAAAATAAAATAAACAAACTCTGAAACAGACAAATATTCATGAGATTATTAGATTTGCCTAAAAGAAAATTCAAAGGGTAGTTGGACTTCCAAGTTTGCTCTTAGATGTTCACACATGTCCCCCGAACAATCGGTAATAAAGAAAAAGAAATAAATACATTTGGCGAGTAATTTATTGCAAACATAATTCATATAACTTGTCTATCTACCTGGTCTTTTTTCGCCACAGCACCGCTAGAAATCGGATCACAATCAGCGTAATAGGCGTACATCACCAGGCCAGCAGTCACGGCACAGCTCACTATGAAGAGCATTATGGCGGTGCCCAGGGCTAGCGCTCTAGACCAAAACGTTAATATTTACATTACAAATGAAAAGAGACTAAAAACATACACATAAAACCGCACATGTAATCACATTTTAGGCCTACCTACCATTGCATTGTAAAATCAAATTGTATAACATCGAAAAACGATGTTGAATAAATAAGTTATATAGTGTATTTTGTAAAATATGCAGTAGCATAGCCTTATTAATGTTGCAATTGTTAATATACAAATAATATCCGCCAAGAAGAAGGATAAAAAGAAATCTCACATGCGTGCAGTCTTGACTGTACTACAGGAGAGATAACGTTGAACCTGAGCTTGATTGATTCCAAAGATGGAGAGGAACATGAACGATGCTCCGATGGTGAGTCCCCAGAAAGTATGACGTACTGTCACATCAGTGCTCATCCTAAAGAGATAATAATGATAATAATATTTAATTTTTATATAGCGCTTAATACAAATGTCTCTAAGCGCTTTACATTATACTATTACCCCGGTCATTGGATTCAGTGCTTGCCCGCACACAATGTGTGCACAATCTCCACTCCCTGGGGAGCATTCCAGCCAGGCGTTACATGACGCTCAGAAACTGTTTGACCAACAATGACGGCCGCATCCTACCGGGTACCCATTTAACACCTGGGTGGAGAGTAACAGGTGCAGGTATTATACTTGCCAAAGTATATTAGTGCCGTGTCGGGATTCGAACCCTCGACCATCGCATCTCCAAGTCAAGCGCCTTAAACCACTCGACCACGACATAAAGAACGAGGGCGGTAGAAGAGGGAGAAAGAGAGAGAGAGAGAGAGAGAGAGAGAGAGAGAGAGAAAGAGAGAGAGAGAAAGTGAGAGAGAGAGAGAGAGAGAGAGAGAGAGAGGGGGGAGAGAGAGAGGGAGAGATAGAGAGAGAGAGAAAGAGAGAGAGAGAAAAAAATAGAGAGAAATAGTGAAAAGGAGAGAGAGAGAAATAAAGAGAGAGAGAGAGAAATAGAGAGAAAGGGAGAGAGAGAAAATAGAGACAATAGAGAGAAATAGAGAAAGAGAGAAATATAGAGAGAGAGAAAGAGAGAAAGAGAGAGAAGAGAGAGAGAGAAAGAAATAGAGAGAAAGAGAGAGAAAGAGAGAGAGAGAGAGAGAGAGAGAGAGAACGAGAGAGGGAGGGAGAAGGGGGAGGGACGGAAGAGAGGAACATTAGGAAGGGATCAAAACAGAGAGGAAATGTGATTTTCTTCAAGCGTTATTCATTGTTAGCAATGATTATAGCTACGCAATTTCATTGTCCTATACATCTTCTACTTCCAATATATCAAACCAAATCATGTCAATGATGATTAAAGATAAACTTGAGTTCTGGTAAAAAAAGAAAATGAATTCTCACAGAATCTAACGAAACTTACACTGAATATTCAAGATTACAAATAAATGTCATGTGCCAAACAATTTTGGAAGAAAATGTATACTGGCTGAGTAGTGAGCATAGAAAGATAAGGAAATCAGGGTAGTACTAGCCCCGACACCATGTGTGTTGTTCCATATACATCTATCTGTGTAAGTGATTGTTACTTTACCAAGACTCTGCCAAATTTATGATGATTTTGATGACTCTAGAACCTTGCATTACACACGATTACTTACATGCTATATGATCAACTTTTCTGATCCATTCCACACCTTTTCTTTCACAATGCAATTGCATTACCAGTACTCAAGTTTATCTTTAAGGGTAAATTTTACATAAACTCTTCATGTATTAAAATACAAATTCCCATATATAAGCATTACGTCAGGATTGGTGTACACATAGTAATAAGATCTCGTAAAATTCAACGATTGTATATTTAAAAAATATTAAAAATCCATATAATTCTAGCTGCGTATGCCAATAGCAAGGGTCAAGTACACCTACTAACCATTATGTACATACATGTATAGTCACGTATATTCACGTATGATCATAGCAAAACGCTATTTATTACTGGCAATCTCATTTTTGTTAATATTTATTCAAACAAATCAATCATAATCACACACATGAAATGAACAAATTTCAATATAGTTCATAAGATAGGATAATACATTATGGGTTCTTCTCCAAGCGTAGCATAAGTTTTTACAAGCGTAGTTTTTTATGAGGTCATTTCACTTGGCTGTGTATTATATTGTATAGCTTATGCAAACCTCCTTGTCACTATACATTCACCTACGTATCAATTGTATTTAAAAACCCTTTGTTTTTGGTATGTTTGTATAGTGTAAAAGAAAATAACATGATGATGATGATGATGATCCACAGCACTTGTATGGCAGCATTTATATGTTTATAACATTCAAAGGCGCCCGCTCCTCCAATAGTCATGGACTACACATTTGCCTGAAAAGAAAGGGTGCGAAGTCTTCTAGCTTGTCGGTTCCAGAGGCGTGGAGCAACATGAGTGTGAAGACTTTCGAAAAATCAACTTTAGACAATTCCAATAGTCTTGTCCTTCGCCTACTGAAACATTCGGACGTTAGCAAGATGGGTTGCGCAATCCGGACATGATTTTTTATATTTTTATGGGATATCTAATATTGGTTGATTCAATTGCCCTTGAATTAGGATATCTGGAGAGTCTTTGTGCTCGTATTGATTGAAATATGTGCAGGCACAAACCCTTTTCAGCCGTTGTGCGTAACAGTGTCTGCAAAATGAGACTAAAGTAGACTCTGTAGGCTACTTAAGCTGATCATATTTGACACATCCGTTGTTGTTGTTGTTTTAGTCTTAATATTCACGAATAACTTATGAATAACTGACATAATAGGCTCTGCTCAAGGCTTTAGGAATTGCGATAGAGTGTCAAATATGAGTATGTGCATGCAGAATAAGGTTTGTTAGAAACCCGCAGAAATCCCTCCCCCCCCCCCTTTTTTTGTTGTTGCTGAGAACGCGGAATTTCAAAACACTAACTCGAAAAGGTTTAGTCTGTTTCCTTCGCCAACGATACGGAGAACGTTGGAGAAACCACCGAGGTCGATGGATCCCTTGATGATGACGGCTAGAAGACCACTAACCATGATACACATTTGAAAGACGTCCGTCCAGATGACAGCTTTTAATCCGCCCTGGAAAGAGGATTATGTAAGATGTGATTAGGAATATAGCGATATTACATTCATGCACAGTTTCGCTTAATCATAGGCACAATAAATCATTTTTTTAGCTATTAGATAAAATCAAAAAAGGGTTCTTTTCTATGCCAACCTTTTAACAACTTGGTTCTCAACTCAACACTAGACATATTAAGTGTCAATGTTGAGCCACTGAGATATTTCTAAGGGGAGCATTATAGTGGGTCTCATCGGTGATTGTATCGTGTCTTGGCCTGGAATGGATACGAAGTGGCTGATTTAGTTCAGTGCACATTATGTTTCTTCGTCCAGTTCGGGGTCGGTGGGGTCGGGACGCACTCCACAATTGAATTTTTTGTTTGGATATGAATTTAAGTAAGCGAAACAAGAGATTGATGTACTGGGCTATAGCAGGAAATACGGGAGTGTGAAGAGGAATGATCAGATAGTGAGGAAGAAGTTATGATCATGAAGCTGCATGTTAGGTTTAATACAGGCAATTTAGTGACGGTCTGATCATGTGGTATTTAAGTTATGGAACTCGTGCAGATCGTGTGGTTTGGTGGAGTGTGTCCAGGCTTCGGTGGCCCTTGACAGGACGTTTTTGGTCTTGGCAGCTAGGGGGACTCCCGTTATAATAAACAGTCTTCTATTTTTTTCTCTCCGTGGCCTCATATTACGCATTATATTATGTTTATTGATACTATATACTTCAAAGCTATCGAGGATTTCGCGCATCTGAACAAATTCGCCGTTTGTTTCAAAAGTAGGGCTGTTTTTGGACAACGTCGTTTCCATCATTAACCAATCATGCGCGCGCATGCATTGACAACGCGCGTATCTTCCCAAACTTTTCACCAATCAGATAACTCAACGCGTGACGCGCAGCAAACTCGATGACGTCACAATACGAATGTTTCACGTACTATAGTTGCTTTGTTTACAACCCAATATAAAAACGTTACACACAAGCAAAAGACCCGCAAGCGAAGCGTTGTGTGTCCGCACAAGTTGGTTGTCAAGAGAGATTATTTTTGAAACACAAAACTCAACAAGTTTTCATGAATCTTGTAATGATTCTTGCAAAGAATATGTTGACAATACTTAATTTATTTTTTTGGCAGTAACTGCTGATGCATATTTTACAGCATTAACTGTAAATGGGACAGTTTGACCCGCTACCCATATCATACTTTTGATAATTCTCGGGAACAGGCGATTTTGGGTGACAATTTAAGAGATGCCTCGGACTAGATCAAGACGTGGAAGACTACGCAGGAGCGTGAGAGGGACAAGGAATTGCCTAGCAAAGGGGTTTCGACATATATGCTGCTGCATCTCTGCAAGTGAGTCTCCATTTTGGTTGTTTCAGTTGTTATGACGGTTATGATGTCCTAAATAACAGAGAGTCATTGATAATGGAGGTAACGTCAGCTGCTATTTGTTCTGATGGTGCGCTGAAATATAGAAGCAATGCAAAATTTGCGTCGATATTCCATGTCAGTCAAGTAACGGTTTGCCTTAATTTTAGATCAAAATTATTGAGTGAAATGTGGATGAACTTGTCAGGCAAAAATTAAATATGATATAATATAATAAATGAATATCTAAAATCCATTTTGATTCGTGTATAGATTCACGACATGATGTTGATAGTAATCTCGATGACGACCACGCCATTATCCGAGGTCATGGAGTTCCATCGTCAAGGAATGAAAGTGACAATGACAAGGTAAGTACCATGAAATTGATTGTAAATTGAGGGTAATCGAACACAGTGGAGGAACCGTATTGCATTTTAACCTTTATTTAAATTAACTTTAAAAAGTGGTATCGATATGTGAATATGGGAATTTTAAGTGCAAACAAAGTCTGAGTACGAGCAGAAAATATGAATCACTAAAAAGAAACAAAATTGCAACAGCAACACAACAAAAACCTCGAAATAATTTTCTCTTCTGCATCCTCAATGGAACTCTAAACTATTGTATTTATATTTGTTACAAAAACTATATTACGAGCATGTATAATGTAAGTACAATGCAATATAAACAAGGGTTCTATCTTACATGTAGGTGGAGAATAGAAACGGGGGGAGAGGGGGATGGGGTGGGGTGATAGTGGTGCTTCTATAATTTTATTTAGGCTTTGTGTGATGTCGGTATTATTAATATTCTCATATCCTCCTATCATCACTCTCAGCCCGATGACACATCATGTCGTGAATGCTCCTGCCGTGGATCAATTGACGTCAACATCCTTGAAATGGACAACGACCAGCTCAATGACTTCATTAACGAGTCACCATTTCCCGAAGTGCGTCGAAAATTCGTCCGTCATATCCGTCGGCTTCATAACATGCGGATCAGCGAGACTGACGATGAATCGCATGATGATGTCGAACAGGTGGTCATTAGCATCGACCAGGGAGATGATGATCATGTTAATGGTGGCGACGTAGATAAGGATTCCCTTGCAATAAATATTACATCATCATCCGACATCGAGGGATTGGAAGACGACGTCGACCCCGATAATGATGATGAAGAAATTCGCAGTCCCTCTTCACAGCTAACTGGTGAGGAAGATGATAATGGCGATGAGGAGGAAGGTGAGGAGGAAGCGGTGGAGGAGGAGGAGGAAGATGGTGATGACGAAATTATATTGGACGAAGACGATCGGGAGCAATTCGAGGAACTCGGTCTTCTGTTCGAAAGCGATGGTGAGGATTGGGACGAGGAGGACGACGAGGAAGAAGGATTTGAGATCTGGATTGTGATGAGGCCGCGGAGACACGGGAGGAGAGGTTTCTATGGCAACGGGAGTAGAGGAAGGATGGGAAGGCGGATGGATGCAAGGAAGAAAGGAGCCAAGAAGATGTGGAGACGGCTCCGGAGAAGGAGAAGGAAGAAGAGTCGAAACGGCCGCAGGGCGAGAAGAAGGAAGAGGAAACGAAAGAAAAAAAAAAAGAAAAGATCTCAGAACAATTTTGAAGGATATATTAACATGATTAAGAAGAAAAATAACAAGACGGATATCAGGAGCCGAAGACAGTCGAATGCACGTGTACCAAGTTTCCATGATCTCAAAACAGAAGTGGTAGAGTGATTGAGAGGTGGGGAAATTTGCTTTTGACTCGGTCAGGTCGCTAATCGGGAATGTCAATAAGACAACAAGAGTAACCGTAGGTTCCCATGGTGACCGGATACCATAGAAGATGATATGTGATTGGGGCTGGAGGATGGGGGCCGATGTGGAATCACAATATCAAAATATAAGTGATGTCACTCTCATCAAAACTGCGCCCTCTCTTTCTTTCATATTCTTTTTCAATGGGACAGAAATAGAGTAGATAAAAGTACTTAATGTTAATATATATGACTAGCATAAAGGTAACCAAAAAAAGGTGGAAAAGGGAATAAAGTTATTGATGAACAAGAAACATAAATTATTCTCCTTTTGTGTAATGTTATGTCTATTTAATGTTTGTTATTATACACATATACATATACACACACATTGAATTTCTCTCTCTCTCTCTCTCTCTCTCTCTCTCTCTCTCTCTCTCTTTCTCACAACTCTCTCTTTCTCATTTCATTTTACTCGGAACATGAAACGTACCACCGTAGTGTAGAAAGTACATGCTATTCCAACTGTCAGTACAGAAACCCACACGTTTAATCCTGCCACTGAATAAGATATGTTTTAATAGGAAGAAAGAGAGAGAGAGAAAGAGAGAGAGAGAGAGAGAGAGAGAGAGAGAGAGAGAGAGAGAGAAAGAGAGGGGGTGTAGAGAGAGAGAAAAAAAGAGACAGAAAGAGAGAGAGAGAGAGACACACACACACAGAAAGAGACAGAGAGAGAAAGCGAGAGAGAAAGGGAGACAGAGAGAGGAGGTGGAGAATAAAAGAAGAGAGGGCTGGTGAGTAAAAATGCTCTTATCAAACGTCTGGTACGCTTTACGACATAAAGAACAAATGTTAATTGTTAATTCAACATCTTTAAAAAGGCCAGATAAGAGATAAGGACTTCTAAATAAATAAATCTAACACAGGATTCAACTTTCATTGTGTTTGATGATGATAAAAATATTCTGGGTTTATTTAGCGCTCACTACATCGATGATGTCTTTAAACGCTTTGCAGATATCTTTTTAACCCGGTCATTAAATTCAGGCTTGTCCGCGCCGCACGCACACAATGTATGCACATTCCAGCCAGGCGCCATTTTACAGACGCTCACAATGCTGATCAAACTACAATGAACACCTGGGTGGAGTGTCGTTTTGGGATTTGAACCCTTAACCCTTGTATCGCGACTCGCGAGTCAAGTGAATGAACCACTGTTCCACGAGTTCGGAGTACTCTCGGGGACAGTGTAATAGAAACCATGATGTAATATGACCATTTGTTAAGGTATATTAACACTAGACCTACATTTCACATACTGTCACATCTTTAATTTAAAGGTACTATATCCCTTTTGCAGCCAACCTCAAATGCTGTAGAATTTTGCAGGAATTATGAATATGTCATGTATGTCCTATCTGTGAAATTTAAACGTTAGCAGTGTCCTCATATTCAAATTATGCAAGGAAACCCGTTTACTTGCTAGACTTCACTGTCAGACACTATTGAGTGACTGACTGGCTATTTTCTTCTTTGGTAATAACATACATGAAAAGAGTTGTAAAGGGTACATGAGCATTTGTCTACATCAATAACCCACTTCTTTTGATGGCCAAGATTAAGCTGATTGAATCTTTGCGCAGCATTAAACGTATGACCATTCGGTACAATTGTCTGAAAATCAAGACTATTACTTTTGGGCTCTATAGCCCTAAAGTCGATTTGACAACTAATAGTCATTATTTTCCCACTTGAAGACATTTTCAAGCCCCACCTTTTTTAGGGAAGTTCTAAATAAGTATTATCTTTCAAATGCAGTTGGAATTTAACTTTTTCATTTTTTGGGCCTGCAAATGGGACATAGTACCTTTAAGTCAAGTTTCGTTCAAGAATTTCAACCTTTCAAGTTTCGTATTTGCACATCACTTGAGGGGTGATGTTAGAGCGTATGGGGGATGCAAGATTGATCCCCGATTCTTCATTATCCTCCTACGTGCGCACCCCCTCCTTCCCGTGTTTGTTATGTTTCCCAATCCTAACCATAATCGTGCTCCTGTCTTCATCAAGCTCGAGATTGCAAAATAGCCCGCTATTTCTGATTTGGGAAATTATCCTGAAGTTACAAATGGAGTCTTCATCAGCTCGAGACTTGACGTCGAAACTTGAAACTCGAGCTCGAGATATTTTTCTCAGCGTTCGCGCATAGTGCGAGTCTTCGGGCTGGTAAAGACGCACCGGACAAATAGCAGAATATTATGCCAAATGGCGGGATATTTTGCAAACTAGCCCAAGATATCTTGGGATGATTATCTCGACCAAACATTCCGCTAATTGCAACTTTGGGCTGATGAAGACGCAAATTAACTGGATAAATTGCGATCGGGATATCAAATAGCGGGATATTTGCCAATCTCGAGCTGATGAAGACAGACAGAGATACTATAATTGATTTGATAAACGATTCTAATAACACCTGAACAACTGGTACAAAGTGTGTGAAGGGAATACACATTCCACTGAATTACAATGCAGCGCTACATTTTCTTTTTGGAAGAGATGGTAAATGGATGAAAAAACATTAAAGAAAATAACGAAAGAAGAGAAAGAAAGGGGTATGAAGAGGAATATTACCGGAAAGAGAGAGAGAGAGAGAGAGAGAGAGAGAGAGAGAGAGAGAGGGGAAGACTGGGGAAAGAGGGATAAAAAGAAAACAGGGGAAAGTTCAATAATGAAGAAAAAAGAACAAATATGGAGAAACATAATATTCCCCTTATATTTAAGTTTTAACCATAACTTATCCCCAGACCAGTGAGTTATAGGCTTCAGCCCAAGATATAACTCCTAGCCCCCTAGGGACCCATCACCAAGGCATAATAGGACAAGAACCACCATAGAACAAGTACCACCTGGACAACTACTCGCTACCGCACCCCGGACTATACAGTACGAGAACCACCATAGAACAAGTACCATCCGGACAACTACTCGCTACCGCGCCCCGGACTATACAGTACGAGAACCACCATAGAACAAGTACCATCCGGACAACTACTCGCTACCGCACCCCGGACTATACAGTACGAGAACCACCATAGAACAAGTACCATCCGGACAACTAATCGCTACCGCACCCCGGACTATACAGTACGAGAACCACCATAGAACAAGTACAATCCGGACAACTACTCGCGACCGCACTCATGACTATACAGTACAATACAGGAAAAAGCTATGACTAAGGTAATAGAATGGAGTAATTTTCCAAATGGGTAGTTTTCATGAGGAGGGGAGGGGCGGAGGATGTTCCACTGGTTAGTTGTCCGGGGGTTATTGTCCGATTGCCCAGGGGTATAGTTATCCAGGGAAAGTTGTCCGGGTATGTTTATCGGAATACAATACCTTGATTCAGCGCCAGGGATGGGGCATAAAGTACAACTCCCATGTACACGAACTGTAAACAGAACATCGTATAACAATTCATTTGGTCATATAAAGTTCGACTTCCTTCAAGAATGTTCATTAAAGAGAAAATTGAGTTCTGCCGTGTAAAGATGACAATAACTTGTAAGCTGTCTCAATCTCCTTATGTTAATCCAAGGATAAATAGAATATGCCTTCTCCCCATGCAGTAATAGGTACCGGAGATATAATTGCTCAAACTTCACCTTTTTATTTATAGAGCATTACTAAAGACATGCTGATTTAAACCCTCTTTATCAACTTTGAAAATACATGTATATGGGCCTATTTTTTTTATTGAAGTTACATGAAAAGAAAATAGAAGGCACGTGAACACGAGGCACACATTGATTCAATTGTCAAGGCCATAGGGTCATAAACACATGTTCATATTGACTAGTAAATGTTTATAAAGTTGTTGTATTCAAGTACAGGAAAGAATAAAAACCATTGCGCAATAATTGAAGATATATATTTCCAGATAATATCATAATCCCGGACTGATCATCATGGACATTAAGTGTGGGGCTGAAACTTTCAAATACACAAAAAACAAACCAATGAACGAACTAAGAGACAAACTAACACGTTACAAATAATCGCTTATTAAACGCCATTCACATTCTGCCCAAGACCTGAATATCGTCATACTCACCATATTGAGAATGAGAATAGTTGAGCCTAGAAGACGGCATGCTCTGTTAAAGCGACGCTCTAAATACTGCAAAGAAATTGGAAGAAATGTAAATTGATATTACAATGTTGGTCATAAAGGTGGAATAATTATTTCTACCCCAATTTATCGAATGATTTTGACAATGATTCATTCCTAACAGATTTAAATAATAGTATACATTCTCAGATTTTATTGAATAATAGTTTGCAAATGTTTGTTTTACGTGACTGGCTGCTGAACCATGTACTGTATGTGCTACTATGCTAATCAACTAGGGGACCTACGTCCTTTAGTTTTTTTTTTTTTTAAAGAGGATGATACAACTCCTTCACTCGATAGCCTCGTTACCTGAATTTAAGTCCGTGCCCCCACCGGACTTTTGTTGAAACGGGGGAGGGGGTGCTGAAAAAGGCTCATATAACAGAAGAAAAAGGTCGACCCGTATTGATTTTATACACCGGACTTTTGCTGAAAGGGGGGGGGGGGTCGCTGGGAACACGCATATGCGTACCCTAAATAACACTGAGTGGGGGGAGGGGCGGGCAGGTCACGCACATACCTTCTTCTTCTTCTTCTTCTTCTTCTTCTTCTTCATCTTCTTCTTCTGTTGAAGTACAGGCCATCTTGTTGTCGGTGTATCGTGAAATTCGTACCTTTATAGAGGTCACTGTTCAGAGCTCCATGAGTCCCCCCCCCCCCGCCCCCCTAATAGTATCTCTTACCTCATTCGCACTCGTAAGATTCAGTCGATGAAAGATGGGCAGGAAGGAAACGCTGATGATGATGCTGGCGATGGTGATGGCAACGGTTTGAAGCCAGATCATGACTCCGTTCGAGTATGACTCCGACGTCATACCCAAGAACATCACCGCTGAGATGAAACTCACGGCGAGCGACATCGCCACCGGGATTGGATTCATTTGACGATTCCCGACCAGGAACTCCTCGGTGCTCTGTTGTCGGCCGCCACTGCAGGCATAGTAGATTCCGATGCCGACAGACGCGGCGAGAATGAAAGACCAAACGACAAAATCGACAGTCTGGAATGTCAATTCACTTCTTCCGTTCTCCGACATTTTTAGGCCTTGGTCTTTCCTTTCAGATCAAACGTTCACTTGTGATCAATAGCTGTACATGTACCTCGAAACGTCGCCACTAGTTTATCTCCGAATGTACTTCACGATATGTGAGTAATAACATGCGACAGACTAGTGCATGGGCTGTGTACTAGATTGTATACGCCTCAGTCACACCAAAAATTATGGTCACACCAATGACACCAACAAAATACTACCAACAAACCGAACAAAATAGTACATTACGACAAATGTATGGTCAGGAACATGAGGAATCGGTCGGTTTGGAGGCGGAGTGAATTTGGTATATCGGTGTGGCCTAGGTATTGCAAAATGGGTTAGGAGTTCAGTAACTCAATAGTAGAGCAATAAGTGTGACAAACCTTTGATCGTTTGGGTAGTTTATCTCTGTTTGAATAAAAAAAAACATTACTTTTTATCTTGTTATATATGATAATACATACGTATAGTTAAATTTATATTGCGTAAATATCCAACCTTTGGGGGGGGGGGGGGTGCTCATTGCGCCTTAAAGGTGCTACTTTTATAGTAATTGTAGCTATTAATTATAGCGCTAAGGTGCTGAGATCAGTTGTTTAAGAAATTACTTCCAATGTTAGGTATATAAGTACTTACTGCACCTGCGTTGAGAGTGGCAAATGTAGATAAATGCGTGACGTTAGTGCCACTGTCAGGACTCGAACCGCGAACCATTTAATCCACGGTCCCGTGACGTATCCATAAGAGCATGATATTTCTAACCTATCATCAAAACATCATCATGATGGGAATAAAGGGGGGATAGGTAAGATTGCAGATGTGTCTGAGTATGTGAGCGTGTGTGGTGTGTCTGTCTGTCTATGCGTAAGGCTTCTGATCTATAATATTCATTCACTATAATTAATTTAAAGGTATTATGTAATGTGTATTTAAACTACATTATGTATTTCTGAGGGATGTACAATGTTCTTTACATTTTGATATGTTATGTAAATCAATGAAGATGTATGATTTTTGTTTATATTTTCTGAATGAATGCAATAAAGAATGCTACAAAACAAAAAAATATGATGATCATCATCATGATGTTGATCATCATCATTTGTCATCATCATTGTCCAGTGGCGGATCCAGCCGAGAATGGGGGGGGGGGGGGGGCAATCCGTGAGAAAATATTAGTTGCGACTCAGCCGTCGGTGAATAAGCGGGGGGGGGGGGGAGGGGGGGTAGGAGGCACTTTTTTTTTTAAACCTAATTCGTGAGATTTTATTTATTTATTTATTTTGTGTCGTTGACCCGTCAGCCCCCCCCCCCCGTGGATCCACGCCTGCAGAGGATCCAGCCGGCGTCAAGGGGGGGGGGGGGGGGGTAGCCAAATCTTAATACAAAATTTAGTGCCGTCTCAGCCGGCCGGCAAATAAGCGGGGGGGGGGGGGGTGCTTTTGTTTTTTGTTTTATAAAGGTTAACTTTAAGTTATTATCCTATTTTTTTTTATCGTTTTGGGGGGCTGGGGGGGGGGGGGCGGGCCGGAAAAATCGCTACGTGGATCCGCCCCTGTCATTGTCATCACCAACATCATCATCATCATTATCATCATCATAATATCACCCCCATCATAATCATCGTCATCACCATCAACATCGCCCTCATCACCCTCATCACCCTCATCACCCTCATCACCCTCATCACCCTCATCACCCTCAACATCGTCATCATCACTATCATCGTCGACATCATCATCATCACCTTTATCATCACCACAATCACCATAATCGTTATCACTATCAATATCATCATCACTATCATCGTCGACAGCATTATTATCATCGTCATCATCATTATCATCATCGTCATCATCCACACCATTATTATTGTCGTCATCACCACCATAATAATCATCATCGCCATAATCATTGTCATCACCATGAACATCGCCCTCATCACCCTCAACAGTGCCATCATCATCACCTTCATCGTCATCAGAGTCATCATAATCGTCGTCATCACTATCAACATCATCATCACTATCATCGTCGATAGCATTATCATAATCCTCATTAGCTTTATCATCATTGTCACCATCATAATCATCATTATGAACATCATCATCGTCATCATCGTGTGTTACTTATTTACATATTTCATGAATATGCATTAATAACATAGGCATGTACAAAATATCTACATAATAAGAATACAATTCATACCGGGAAAAATAAGTATTTATGTGTTTATTACAATTTACGAAACATAACCCCAAAAATGTTGTCAGAAGGCCAATGAAGTTGTTGTGCCTTGTCGGTCTACTGGGCCAATCGGTCTCGTAGGATGTAGCCATCGTCTAAACGATCTCGTCGACGACATCGTCGTCGGATTGGTGGTCGACTTGTATCCAATTCTTCTTCTTGACAGGGTCTTCTACCTTGAAGCCGTGCTGACCAGAGACGTTCATCTTCTCATACTCAGGTCCCTGGGGAAGGGTAGATTCAAAGAAAGACAAAGTGAAAACTATTATCAAAATGAAGTCACTGTAGCCCTAACTCAAACTGTTCTCTCTCTCTCTCTCTCTCTCTCTCTCTCTCTCTCTCTCTCTCTCTCTCTCTCTCTTTCTTATTTGGTTAAATATTATGACTGGGATGTAAGGAAAGATATTTACCGATATATGCGAAGTGCTTACCCCCCCCCCTCCCCCTCCCCCTCCCCCCTCCCCCGCCAACAAACAAAATATAACCAAAACAAAATTTGTTCTCAAACTATATCGTGTTTTTGAAATAATTTTTGTCAGGCTTATTCATTTGGTCCAGAAAGAACCTTTTTCTTTTTATTGCGTCTTCTTACCTGCATAAAGTCTTCACCAACCCCGCATCGTAATGGAATCTTCCATTTCTCAGGCAGACAGCAGTACATGATATCGACCACTGGACTTATCAAACGGGGATCTAGTTTCCGTGGATCTGAGGGACCTATATGAAATAGAGAGTAATACATGAAATGAAAAATATATTCCACAGATAGAAGTTTGATCGACCGTTTAATATTCATTAATTTGGCAAGTTCCTCATGAATTTTTCGGGTGATTGCTCTTGTTGAAGAGGAATTTTATTTGAGGTATCGAAAGGAAAATTGGGTCGTATTATTATGCTTGTATCTTAAAGGGAGTGTAGCCTGACGGAACTTTGTGTCTTTCCCATGGCCTCAGTGACTCGGGGCAAATCGGACGACGCGACTGCAGCAATCAACATACACGAAACGGAAGCGTGAGGAAAACTTCGGTGTGTTTCGTGAACGCTTACCTTGTAGAGATTAAGTCGCTAAAAACCGTTAATCAAGTCCATTTGTTTACGTGCAAAAGAAGACGTAGATGGCGTTTTATTCTATTTATTCTAGCGTTCTATTTTTGCCGACACCTATCACACTGCAACATCATTCATAGAGCGGGTTCGTAAAATTCGCTTGTGCAATATATTTTGTCCATATACACGCCTATATCCCGTGACGTGTGATTTAAAGTAATTAACCCTTCCCGAATCGTAATTATTTTTCATCCCTCATTGTTTAACGATCTGCTAAAAGAGATAAAAAAAAACGCTTTAACTATCTGAGTTAGCCTCTTGCTTAAAATACAACGCACTAGATAACAGTTTGGATTTGCAGAAGTTCCAGGCAGGAGTCGTAAGGACTTGTTATCACCCCCAAAATGATTCAAAATGCAGGAGTGACACACACTAGCCAATCATGACCCAGCAGCTATTCTTCATTGGAAAGTGAATTTTGATTGGCCAATGACGAACAAATAAAAATCGATCATAAATCTTTGTCCAATCAGGGCCGAGAACTTACCCGTTAGAAAGCTGATGATGAGAGAAGCAAAGATTGTTACTAGCCACGATGTCACAGCATACCATGTATAGGAGAGGGTGTAGAGGGCTGCAATGGCTGGTCTGCTAAAGAAGAAAAGCAGAATAAAAGACGTCACAATCAGTGAAGTAGCGTTGGAAAAGACATTGATGGGGGGGGGGGGGGGGGGCTCACTTGTATTGCTGTAGGTATCGGACGGCTTCGCCGCCTATATGTTTTCAAGTATTACACAATACATTTTCAGTAATGATAATACAGTCTAATGTTCACCTTTCATCATTCGCCTCCTTCGATGTCATGCGAATGTTGAGAGTAGTAGCGCCATCTGTTGCCAGTTCTGTGACAGTCGAAACGCCAGTGTCGGGCAAGTAAAGGCTGTAGCCGGTAGAATTGTAGAGGTTCAACGTATCGTTATTGAGGGTACACCCAGAGGTAGAGAAAGAAGGGGCGGGGTAACTGGGAGGGTACACCTGAGCCCCTATACCAACCCAGAAGGAGAATATTAACCCGATCAGAGTCCCACAGAAGGCACCCTGGTAAAACAAAAATATGGAGAAAGGAGATTAAGTATACATTTAGGGATAACACGATCACAAATGCTTTCGAGAATCCTACTTAAGAGTAATTTAAGTACCATGATTATAATTATATTTCGTATGGATCCTGTGTAGATTACGTATATGACTGCTCTGTTTATGTATTTTAATAAGTGATGGAGAAGGTTTCAGAGCAGTGAGCTAGTGTCATTGTATTCATCTGATATGTTATTTCGTATTTTAATGGATTGCAAGAAAAATTACTATGTCGAGAAAACGTTTGCCAAACATTAATTTCGTCACTGGTAACCACCGTAGGAGAGGAATACAGTAAACCTGAGTAGGTTTAGATCGCAAAGACTTTCGAGATATCATACCTTTGAATTAGTCCAAGGAAAGAACATTCCGACACTAAACAGTCCTAAAGTTGGACCACCGAACATACCGAAGACGTTCAGCACCGTCTAATCATAACGGAAACGTGAGAGAGAGAGGGAGAGAGAGAGAGGGGGGAGAGGGAGAGAGGGGAAGGGAGAGATGGATAGAGAGAGAGAGAGAGGGAGAGAGAGAGAGAGAGAGAAACAGAGAGAGAGAGAGAGAGAGAGAGGGAAGGGGAGAGATGGATATAGAGAGAGAGAAGGGGATAGAGGTAGGTTGGGAGAGAGGATCGGAGGGAGTGGTGGAGGGGGTGGGGTGAAGTGAATGCAAACAGACATCCAAACAGAGAACAAAGATCAGATACAAAGGAGAATAAACATTATAGGGGAAGTGTTACAAACGAGACGAAGAAATGAAAACAAAAGAATCACAAATACAGAACATGAGTCAGGTGTTTGACTGAATTTCAAAAGGGTATTTAAAGTTAAATATTCATAGAACCCATGTTTTTGTAATCGTTTCATTTTTTTTATCAAGAACGGAGGACAATTTTTTATAAGAAACATGAAATGATATTTATAGTATGAGTTTTGAAGAAAACGAAACAATTTTTTTTGTCTTTGCATTAATATATGTGTAATGGTCTTGTTCTGGCTGAACCTATAGGATCACTTTTATTTTTCAGATTTTAGATATATAAATTCACTTATTAATGAGTTTAAGGTAAAATTTCCATCGACCAAAATTAATTTTAACTTACTTTGAGGATGTCTCCAAGAACTGAGGCAAGAAAAGCAAACCCGATGGTAAGGATTCCATAACTCAAAGCTGACGACAAAAAAAAATTGAATAAAGTTTAGAAAAAGATCGACCATGTCGACCAATATGTTTGGTCTCTGTGTAATATATCATGCAGTAAACAAACAACTTATTCAATAGAAGTAAGTAAAGTAAAACAACAACAACAAACAAAAGATAAACAAACAAGCAAACGGAACAAAACTGAGGCCTCTTCGTTGCAAGAAGTATTACCCAGTGAAACAAAACATTAGCCAACGTTTATCAAAAGAATGTGCGCTATTAAAGGTACTATGTCCCTTTTGATGCCAACATTAAATTCTGTAGAACTTTGAAGGAATTATAAATATGTTATGTATGTCCTATCTGTGAAATTATGCAAGGAAACCCGTTACCTTCTAGATTTCACTGTCAGACACTATTGAGTGAGTGACTGACATCTTTTTTTTCTTTGGCAATAACATACATAAAATGCAAACAAGTACGTATGACCATTCGGTAAAAGGGTCTGAAAATCAAACTATTACTTCGGTTATCGCAATCTATTAAAGTCGATTCGACAATTAAAGGTCGTTATTTTCCACTAAAAGCCATTTTCAAGCTCTTTCGCTTTGAGAGAAGTTCTAGATTAGTATTGTCTTTCAAATGTCGTTGTAATTTAACATTTTCATTTCTTGGGCCTGCAAATGGGACATAGTACCTTTGAGGCTCTATTTTCAAATTACAATATGAAGAAAACCAACCCATTAACTTTGATAAATGTGTGTATCTTTTATCACTCAGTCCCGGCCACAGAGGTTTGATGAGGTCTTCAGTTGTTACAGCTGCCACGGCGTTCAAACCCGATGAGATTGTACTGAAAGTATAATAGGGAATAGACAAACGTGAATTTGTATTCGGCACCGACATAGCCAGCAAGGGGAAGAACATACGTATGGCCCCGTCATCTTTTTCCCTCCTGGGAAAAAGGGACATTTTAATTCTTTAATCTAGAAATATTAGTAAAGGAGTGTCTGGCTAAATTAAGACTTATGTTGGATCAGAGGGCGAAGCGAATTCTCCCTTGGCATCACAATGGCCTTTCAAAGCGAGAGAGGAGGAGATGGGTGAGGGGGGGGGGGCGGGTAATGAGAGAACAGATCTATGGAAGTTGGGGAAATATTCAAAGAGGATGATAAATCATAACATTTAAAGCTGTGCGTGATCAAACCATTATTATAGTATGCTTTATTTCCACATAATAATAATAATAATATAATAATACTCAGTTGTTATATAGCGCTTATTAAAATCACTAAGCGCTTCCATTATTACCCCGGTCTTAGCTGTGGTGCCATTATACGGCGCTCTAGCTTCTCAAATAATTAGTTCCTGCCAGGTACCCATTTACATCACCTGGGTTGAGTGTGGTAAATGTAGATCAATGTCTTGCCAAAGGACATTAGTGCCGCGGCGGGTCTCGAACCGCGGACCTTGTGATCGACAGTCCGGCGACTTAACCACTCGACCACGGCACCTCTACATTATCGGAAACACGTTACAATATCATTTTACACCCCCCCCCCCCCTTGAACAAAACAAAGGAAACTATATTTTCAAAAATCAATGATTTTTGTACGTTCATATAATTATGTTCCTAAACTTAAAAATATCAATTACGAATGAATACCCAAAAAAGTTAATGTACCTTAATGACGCACTGAATACGGCAGATAGAAACAGGCCAGGTAATCCGGGATATTGTCGAAATAAATCTAAAGTAAAGTAGGGGATCATCTGGAAACACGGGAAATAAAGACAGGACGAAGATAGCGTTAACATAGTTAGTATTCTCTTCATCATCATCATCATCATCATCATCATCCTCATCATCATTATCATCGTCATCATCATCGCAGAACAATAGTTAGAACAAAATTCTAAATTGTATTCGTAGTGAACTCGTATATTTCCACGTATCTGCATGTGGAAATAATTTATTAAGTAATCCGTAATTTGCCCATTGTTTCGGAACTTTTAGCTTTCATGGAAAGCACACCTGGACCGTCAAGGAAAAAGTTTGAGAACCCCTGACCTATAACATATTCCCTTGTAAATAAAACAGTCGGTGGCATTATTTTTAGCATGACATTTTACTTTTAAAGAATCCGCATTTAAATAAAGATGAACACTATTTCCCTGCTGGAGCCGTCTGTGTACCTCAGTATTGCGCTAGTATTGTGTAGGGACATAACTTTTTCTTTAATTAGTCAGTGCTCTCATAGAAAAAAAATGATGATCTATTTTACACGGGGGGCAAGCACGAGTTTGACACATCGTGATGTATCGTAACCCATTGTGACCCATCGTGACACATCGTGATAAATCGCGTCACATCGTGGCACATCGTGATGTATCGTGACCTAACGTGACACATCGTGAAAAATCGTGAAAAATCGTAGCGTATCGTATTATATCATCAAGAAATTAGGAGGTAGCTTAGAACAAACATGATTATATCACTATCTACCTGGTCTCTTTTCGCCACAGCACCTGTAGACATCGGGTCGCAGTCCGCGTAGTATGCATACATCACCAGGCCGGCAGTCACGGCACTGCTTATTATCACCACCATCAATGCCGCAGCAATCGCGAGGGATCTGCATGAAATAGATACAATATTGTGTTCCTGAACAGAACTTTCATACACCTGAAACATGGACACCCGGTGCAGATACGTGGAAATATACGAGTTCGCTATGAATACAATTTAGAATTTTGTTCTAACCTATGTTCTGCGAAAGAAGTCTAAATATGAGCAACAGTCCCTAACGGTCTAAAACACAATTTAATGAGCTTTTATGCTCCTACAGGAGGATATTCAAAGAATTTGTTGGCATACAGAAATTAATGAAACTGAAAATAAATTTTGGTGGACTTTTTTCATTTGCCGACGTCTTGAAGCCGAAGTGTCAAACACGATGTTTAACAATGATTTTTTTTTTTACTTGAAACATTATTGAAAAACCATATCAACCAGTAAACAGTGATCGCCCCAGGAGAAGTGGCGGGGCGCATCTTTTTTCCGTAACCTAGCCATCCTACCACTGCATTTGATCGGCTCCATAGGAACCTTTAGGCTTTACGTCATGCGCTAGTCATCAATATTCATGATACGCACGCACACAGAATCTGATGCGATAATTTATCAAATATGAGATTTCATCCAAAAATTACTAGTCAAAGCTAAGTTTATGTAAAATAAATGACATTGCGACAAAATCGGGAAGCTTACCATGAACGAATGACTACCCAGGTCGTAACTTGTACATAATCATTGCGATGTACTGGTCTAATCCAGAATCTGACCGATTTAATTTTTATCTCCAACACACCGTACCAACACAAATATTCATATATTCAAATATGAATATGCAGCGTAGGATGGCTAGGTTACGGGAAAAAGACGCTGGCGGCGTAAGGGGAAGAGAGTGGAGGGAAGTGTGTGGTTGAGTTGAAGCTGAGGAGCAGGGGAGGGGGAGGGGCTTACATGCGTGCAATCTTGACTGTACTACAGGAGAGATAACGTTGGACCTGGGCCTGATTGATTCCAAAGATGGAGAGAAACATGAACGATGCTCCGATAGTGAGTCCCCAGAAAGTATGACGAACTGTCACATCAGTGCTCATCCTAAAAAGACGAAGAACGAGGGGGAAGGGGAGAGAGAGAGATGAGTTGGGGGAGGGGGAGGCGGAAGAGAGAATCATGAGGAAGGGAGCAAAGAAAGAATATAGAGGTTACTACAAGTTGTATAATTTTGCACCATAGTTTTATCTTTTTGTTTAAAAAACCGCACTGTTACAGTTTGTATAGATTGTGCAGGTTTTTGGTTTTTGTAGTTTTATAGCATATATTGCTTGATGTTTCAGATTCTTTTCACAGAAAGGGGAACATGTCAAATCATTGAAGATAATTCACTTTAGTTGGTTATACCAGGGGGTCAAAACCCTCGTACGAAAGGTCTTGGAACACCCATGACTATCCATCAGTAAAAATGACATACATGAGAATGTTATATTTTAATGAAAATCAACTAGAGACTAACTCGAAGAGGTTTAGTCTGTTTCCTTCGCCTACGATACGGAGAACGTTGGAGAATCCACCGAGGTCGATGGACCCCTTGATGATGACGGCGAGGAGACCACAAACCATGATACACATCTGGAAGACGTCCGTCCAGATGACAGCTTTTAATCCGCCCTGGAAAGAGGATTACGAAAGAAATATTAATGATTTTAAGAGTAGACATTCTTGCTCTAGACAAACGAGGGTTCTTGATGGTCATAGGAGGAGGAGAAAGAGAAGGAGAAATGAGATTAGGAGGAGGAGGAGCGAAAGGAAGGAGCGAGGGAAAGGAGGGAAATACGGGAGGATAAGGAGGAAGTAGAAGAAGATAAAGAAAAAGTAGATAAGAGGAAGAAGAAGAAAAAAGAAGAAAAAAAGAAGAAGGAATCAATAGAAACAGAGGGCGGAGGAGAAGTGAGCAGTAAAGAAATAATAGTCATTAACAAAAGAACAGTGACGTAATGATATTCTTCATAATTATGTACAGTGATGTAAACTGTTTTTACCGAGTATCTCACAATCGCATAACAAAAACGTGGACTTTTGTTAGGGCCAAAATGCATTTCATTTGCATCCTAGAAATGCTGAACTTTAAGAAATTTTTAAAATATGGATAAAAATACATCTATATTCGTTGGTTCTATTAATGCCCTAGAGAGGAAGGAATGTTCCACCTGTTTCATGGAATGCCTTTGAATAATCATATTTCATGTTTGTTTGTTTCCATCACAAACCCCAAACCAGCATTTAAACTTTGAAAAGATCAAATCAGGCTGAGGAGGAGAGGGGGGGGGGGGGGGGGGAGTAGGGGAGAGAGATGCATGGAAAAAGAGGACGAAATTCGTATCCATACAAATCTAGGGGCAAATTAAGAATATTCATCTTTGGTAACTCTAAAACAAAAGAATACAGTATTTAAAGATTAAACCAACGATGATAAAACCATTAAACTGTGTAGGTTTTTACAAGTTTCTCACATTAAATATAATGCATCGTCTTTTAAAAAATTAATTCAGTGTGATAAAAAAAAAACGATTTTGTCTTTCTTTAACCAAGTAAAAATACTTACGATGGTGGTATAGAAGGTGCACGCCATCCCGATCGTCAGTACAGACCCCCATACGTTTAATCCTGCCACTAAATATAGTTAGAAACATACAAAAAGAGGGAACAGGTGGACATAAAAATGATGAATATCGGGAACGTCAGAAATGTGTTATCATTTCATATTTTTGTGTATATACTTTTTAGTCATGTATTTGAACCTGTTAATTGCATTTTTTTCTTGAACTGATTTGTCGAAACAGATGGTATAATTTTGTATTGGTTCAAGGATGGAGATACAACGCGGAACCAGTCACTGCCAGTTGAGGGTTCAAAAGGGGAACGGGGTCACAACCAGTTCGTGCCTCCCTGTTAAAATCAATTTCGAATAAAGTACAGTAAAATAAATATTAGCCCCTTGTTACCTGTATTGCATTCCAAACGGCACCTGAACAATTTGATTGCAGTGTTTTCCTCTTTTTTTCTCTGCTTGTCAGCAATATTCCCCATTTACAAAACATTTTGGTCCGTCCTAGGTTAACTCGAGGAGGTTAAAGGTTACCCAACAACGGGGAGAAAAACAGCACATATGAATATGAAGATGAGAGTTCAGATAAAAATATCATGGAAATATGTCAAAGCCTATTCATGGGGAAATATCATTGCTTCTCTTTCTGCCGCTTATGTACATGGCATGCTGTTTTTATTAAAAGTATGAATGTATCTATTTCCAATACGAGATTGCTGCACAAGCGTAACCGTAAACTTTAAACTTCGGTTTCTCGAAATAATAAACCGGATCTATGAAGCCCGTTCCCATGCCACCAAAAACAAACATATAATACGGATATTAGATACTGCACGAGTTTGCCATGATTGTATATACTGTATGTTTGATTAGCTTTAAAACAATGAACTATAGCTGATATGTTACTTATGTAAATATGTTTCTCGATGGGGGATCACATGATTTCGACATGAGGAAAGCAAGTAGATATATGAAATTTGTGATAAAGAAAAGGTTCCCCTCCTCTTTGATTAGTTATCTCTCCTCTTCTCAATTTCTCTTGTAATATAACCTTCGATGGGGGGGGGGGGGGGGGGAGAGGCATGTTCCCCCTCTACCCCCACCCCTGGTTATGACACTGGACATCAAAGTCCTGAAAGTGATATAGCATAATATTGTTTAATTGCTCTATTTAATAGGACCTACCTTGATTGAGTGCCAAGGCTGGGCCATAGAGTACAACCCCCATGTAGACGAACTAGGATTTAAAAAAAAAAATTGTAAAACAATGGAAAGAAGATAAACATACGCAAAGTAAGCAGCAGGGTTAAACAGAGGATGAAATACTTCGCATGGCCAGAAAATAATTAAAAAGGAATCATACTGACTTTCAAAATCTAGTGAACATTCCAGTAAGATCACGAAAATCTCGTTCAGCGATTCGCAGCATGTGTAGAATGCATTAACAACATTCTGGAAAGTTAAACAGGAAGATAAACATTTCCGTTTGCATGACAAATGTTTAATGTTTATGTTCAATACATAATAATATACATTCTGTTCTTAGTGTGGTACGAGTATCTCCAAATTCAGACCATTTGGGTTTTTTTCTTGAATATGGAGAATATTAATCATTACCCAAGAAATTGCAAGGCACCCATTAATACCTGGGTGGAGAGCAGTGGCGTAATGAGCAAAATCTTTTTTGGGGTCAAACCAAAATCCGCATCACCACCAAGTAGAATAATGCAGGGGTAGTGGAGCGTCTTCCGAAATAGGGGGGGGGCACCAACAAAAATTGCACTTTCTGGAAAAAAAGGGGCACCTACAAAGGGAAAAATCAACAAAACATACACCATTTTTAGACATTGGTTTATACCCCTCCATCGTCATGATTGTGATTACACTACCGTGGGATGGTATAAATATTTGTTTCTTTCTTTACGTGGTACAATATACTGCTTAAGCAACATACTTTGCAGTTGGGTGTGATGGTCTGAATATTAATTTTCGAGCGAACGAAGCAAGCGAGCAAAAATATAAGATTTGTGAAGATAAAGAAGATAAATAACAAACCCTGATGAATATTAAGAAAAATGTAATGAAAAAAGACTGAAAAATTCTTTTATAAATGGCATAATTATAACATATATAAATATGCGAGCGAGCCCTAATTCGCCTTGTTATGGAGAAAAGGAAAGTAGGCACTTATCAAAAGGAAAAAGAACAGTTATTAGAAAAGAAAAGGTGCTCGTGTCAAAGTAAAAAGGGACACTCAACAGAGATGAAAAAGGCACTTGTGAGAATGGAAATTGGGAACATGTTGAAGGAAAATGGCACCTATCAGATTTTAATAGGGGCATTTAACAGATGTTAAAAGGGGCATTTTAAAAAGGAGAGGGGCTCATAAAAGAAGAGAAAGGGGTACTTATTCAAAGGAAATACGGTACTTATTAGATAGGAAAAGGGGAACGTGTCAAAATAAAATGGACACTTCGGAGGTGAAAAGTGGCGTTTGAGAGAAAGGTAAGGGGATTCTTATTACGAAGGAAAAGTACATGTATTAGAAAGGAAAAGGGGCACAAGTCAAAGTAAAAGAGTGCAAAAATATTAGAGGTGAAAAGGGGAATTTCTCGCAACTAATAAGAGGTACTCACAAGAAATGAAAAGAGGAAAAGGACAGTTATAAATAGAAAAATGGGCACTTGTCCTATGTAAAAAAAGGAGGGGGGGGGCACTTGTGGTACTTTACAAAAGTGGGGGCACAGTGCCCCCACCCCCATCTGGTGTGCCGACTCTGGCATAATGGGCAAAAGTGAGAGAAAAAACCCGGAAAATCATGTCGTTTCAGCAACATTTGGAAATCACTGGTATCGAATTAGAAATAAACCACGTTTTAATTTTATTGGGAGGGGGGGGGGGGGGGTTACTGACCCCCAAGCCAATTTTAGAAGCTGTTTCATGAAATACATAAAATCGATTTGATGAAACAGTTCAATCGGTTTTAGGCTAAAACTAAATTCGGCCTTAAAATTGATATTTTGATATCTAAATCAATTTTAGTTGATGAAACACCCCCTAGAACTGAAGTTCATCTTTAACCACTATGTACACATAATATAGATACAAATCGTTTTCAGCATGTGTGATGTATTGTATGCTAATCACACACGTGTATCACAAGTTACAATCACTTTTTTTTTAAATCATAAAACTGTTCAGAGTCCCAAGTTTTCTCCCCTCTTAAATCCCCTAGTCATTCTTACAAGTTTTCTTATCGCAAATTTGTTTACAATACAATCGCCGTTTATGAGATGGTGTGCATGATACGTGTACTTTGTATATCATCCTCACAAATATGAGCTTCTGTATGAACGCGTGTATATCATGTTGAAATCTTTTGTTTCTCTATAATTTGTCTAATTCATGAATTGAATATAATCAACATGCACAATAGACTGCTCTATTTAAATGGAAATCTTCCATTTACAAGCCTGGGTCTTTACTAGATTCCCTCATACATGTATTCCACCGCAAATATATTTGTCTAATTTCTGTTTAAATACCATGCAAGTGTATTTAAATCTCCACACGCTATTTCAACTCTATTATTACCTCCATGGCTCGACATCATTGTATTCATTTTGGGACCGATGGAAATATACTTCTTTTTTTCATTCTCATTGCTTATTGTTTATGGTTTGTGTAATGAATGTGAATGTAAAATACATATTGACTAAACTCAACTAGACTAAACTAAACTAACTGTATTAAATCTAAAGAAATGGTCGGTATTACATACCTCATACATAGATTCTTATCCACTGATTGGTCAAAACTATACCACATGACAAGGCGCATTTCGATCTATCATTGCGTCAGAGGGTTTTGGCGTTCTATCAATTGACCTAAGGTCAAATGATAGAACGCCAAAATCCTGTGATAGTACGCATAACCCCTCCGCGACTTTTGCACTTACATAGCGTACATGATTTCAAATGCCCTCGAGCGGATAACTCCAGCGGTGTCAAGGCGCTCACGCCGTGCAAGTTACGCTGAGGTGCAGTAATTGCACTACACTACTGCAGTACCTATATAGATTGAATTTCCGTATGTTGAATTTCTTTTAGCGTTTGATATTTGAAACTTGTGAACTTCGAAAGGACTGTAAATATGTTAAATAGGCTCTTGACGTTGGATTTGTTTTCTAGACCTGTTCATGAATCAATGAAATTTAGGTTGAGGTATATGACAACAAATATGGATCGCTCAGTGGTGGAAATTATCACTTCCTCGGTGGTGTTCATACCGGCCCTTCTATCACCCCCTCGGCTTCGCCACTTTTTCTCAAATTAGCATGTAATTAAGAATGGTATATTTTCAACAATTCTTTTATATATAATGATGCAATCTACATGTATATGTTCACTAAAGAAGCATGTGCATCATTTAATATTTGCAACATTAGTATTGAACCGATTTGGTTAATGTTCTGCTTTGTTTTGATTATGTTTTATTATACATGTATATGTAATATGAGAAAGTGGAAATACATTTTGAACTATTGAACCATTGAACTATTGACTGAAATGTCTAGGCTTTGCTCAAGCCTTTCGGAGTGTGTGGTAAAGTGTCAAGTTAGAGTCTGTGCCTGCAGAGATGATAAATGTTTATTCTTCTTCTCTCTCTCTCTCTCTCTCTCTCTCTCTCTCTCTCTTTATGATAATATTTAATAGTAATAATAGTCCGTTCTTGTAGAGCGCATAGTCTTTATGCGCTTCCAACGAGTTTCGGAAACTATCTTTTCCTCACCGTACGAGGCATTTTATAACTTTATATCACTATAACAACATTGCTACTAGAGTTCGATTACAATATATACAGTATATACAAAATCAACAGACTGATGAAATACAATAGTGTTAACAAACAAAAAGCAGAAGGGAAAGATCAAGACATGAATAGATATGCGTTAAAGGCTTAACTAAGAAAGACACAACATGATATTTTTAATGACTTTGTCTTGGTTTCTGTATTGCCAATTGACATAAAACATAAAATGGCTTTTAAAAATCATCCAAATTGAATGGCTATTGAAGGATTGACTTCTATAAAACTGATTGAGTATATAAACCTTATAAATTGCATATTGTGCGTAAAAACATGTAGTACATTCATGAGCAGAGACTGAGAGGGACAGATATACAGCATCCAAAATCACTTGGCAACTCATATTGCGAGAAAACCCATACTCACCATATTTAAGATGACAATGGCAGACCCTAGCAGACGGCATGCTCGATTAAAACGAAGCTCCAAATACTAGAGGGAAAAGGAGAGACATCAAATAATAAATTAGGCTACGTCTTGCTATAGCTCAACAGTTTTTTGACGATGGAAGATCAGTTATTAAAATCAAATCATCATTTTACTTGAAATTTTGTCAAATTTACACACATCCGAACTTTTGTGCTACTGCAAATCATGCCCAACCTGTGATGTCACACATATCATCAGCGTTTGGATAGCTCTTCAGGAGCTATGCCGGGGCCGTATTTAAAGTGCCCGTCCATAGAAAATCACAAATATAGGCAAATAACGTTTTACTAGAAACTGTTAAGCTAACAGATGGCCATCGTAGAAGTTTTAGGTCAACTACATATCGGGTGATTTATACAAATGCAAATAAAACCACCTCCATAGCATTTAGGATATACGAGAGATTCGCCAGAAGAATAACGATATTTTAATGACGTCACATTATGAACCAATCCTGCCCAAGCAGATGACATCCCATTAAGAAGTAACATAATTGCAATGCTTTTATTTCCCAAATTATAATGAGTTTAGTGTATATAAATGTGATGGCATTTTACACCATTCCAACAGGGATATGAAACCGATTCTGATAACTAAATTGTTTTGTTTGTAAAACCACAGGACAGGGGTTAATGAACAGTCAAAGAAACCACACTTTCAAATAGAAAATCCGCCGGAATGATAGCATGGACGGCATATGCAGCTGAAAAAAACAATGGCGTCTTATTTTGTTTACAAGCGACGGGTTCCTTTATTTTTTTATCGCTGCATTTTTAATAAAAATAATGCCATGTGCGGGGTTTAGGGTGAGACAAAATATTGAACATTTAGCCAGATGGTAGTGAAGTAAAAGAAATTACTGAAGAGAAGATGACAAAACAGGAACTGAACATGTGTGAGATGTCATGGGACATCGTCTGCTTGTGCAACTCATGTTCAACATGTGACGTCACACATCTCAGCAGCGTTCGGAGAACTATTTAGGTGCTATGTCGATGCTGTATTCAAGCGTTTTTTAATTGATAATAATCATTACTTCGAATGTTTCCAAGCATTGAAGTTTGATAAAATTGTCCAATCACAGTTTCAAGTTTGAAAATAAATCTTCGCACAGCTACTTTAAGCAACTTAGGCCCATAAGGATTGTTTTGTTCGTAGAAATCAATCTTCCTTTTTCAACAATAGACCAACTAGAGTGTTCAAGGGGGTATTTTTAGGAGTTTTAATCATGCCAATACTCACTTCGTTGACACTCGTAAGTTTTAAACGATGAAACACGGGCAGATAGAAAACACCAGCGAATATGCAGGCGACGGTGACAGCGATCGTATGGAGCCAGATCATGACTCCGTTCGAGTACGCCTCGGCAGTCGTGCCTAGGAACGTCACCGCCGAGATGAAACTCACAGCAAGTGACATCGCGACGGGAATCGGGTTCATTTCGCGGTTGCCCACCAGGAATTCCTCGGTGCTTCGCTGTCGACCACCGGTGCATGCATAGTAGATCCCGATGCCGATAGACGACGCGAGAATCAAAGACCAAACGACGTAATCAGCGATATGAAAGGTCAATTCTTCTCTACCATTCTCCGACATTATAGACCCTTTTCTCTTTCTCACACTCAAATATAACTGAAGTTATTTTCTTCTAAGAAAACGAACGCTAAAGAGCTTTAAAGAATTAATGCAGGCCGTCCTTCTCGTATCTTTCAGTCGAAAACACTGATCTAATCTGGTAGGAAAATTAGAAGTTAGTATGCGTACCCGACACGCATGATTACCACGGCTTGTAAGTAATCTTTTGATATGAATATTATCGCACCGTAGAGGGAGCTTATCAAATATAGAAAGAGTTACAAGGAAAATGAAGCTCAAATAGTCTTTCTATTTTGATTTTTTCTGAAGCAGTGATAAAATGTCCTCTACACCTGCCCACTGATTGTAATATTTATATATACGGTTCATGGCCTCGAAGTATAACGAAATATTTTATTCGACACTACATGCATTGATACATGGTCAAATTAAATTGAACGAAATCGAAACCTGATAGACACCGATTTTGTTTGTCTGTCTCACTCCTTCTCTCATGGCTCTCTCACTCCCCTTCCCTCTTGCTCCCCCCTCTCTTTCTCTCTCTCTCTCTCTCTCCCTCCCTCCGTTCGTACAACGAAAAATGATTTAAAAAATGTCCAAAGAATCATTTATACATTCGCCTATTTATTAAATATTCTTTGCATAGAATGATTCTGATATAAAGTTAATGCAGATCAGATCAATATACCTGTTTACTCATGGTTTTCAATACATGCATGTCACTCCCAAGCACCCTTGGTTACCACCAACTATTTGATTCACCCGTTACTCACAATGACATCACTTTGGAAGAACCATTTGCATAAATTCGTTGTTGCTATGCCGGGCAAAACTATTGAAGCTTTTTAGTCGGCAAAAGAACATTTATTAAAAAAGTAAGACGAGTTTCGTTAACAAGTTTCGTTAACATATATTTTATCCTTTAGTAAATTGTAGTACATGTATATTATTTCTTTGGATAAGAGCATTTTCTAGAAAAAGAAGATTAATACATTTATAATATAAATTATTTGTCCTTTACCATATTTGTGTATGCTTATTTCATCTCGTCGCATGCTTTTAATATCATAAACTTCGATTTCAGAAATCTCTACAATCTTTATAAAGTATTTACATTTTCTTCTATAAAATATTTACACAATGAAATTTGTTATAAATATAATAGACGTTGACGGTTTTGAATGACATTTCGAAATTTAAAAACCAAATACTTATCAACGTTTCATTAATTCATGTATGATAATAATTAATACATTGTATAAATAACTTCAACTCACAGAAGCGATAAATTTGATACCAGCATGCATCAGTTATGAATTGCGAGAAAAGAAAAATCTTGAAAAATGGCAGTTTGATAATCATATGGCAAACTGCAATTCAGATTAAAGAAAAAGAGGGGTTCAGTAAACATTATTCTTCTGAAATTTTATTTATTACCTTTTTTCTATAAAACCATATGTTTAAATGTTAAATTGTCATTGTAATACAATACAAGTTGTGTTTGATAATATTGCAATGACGATACCAAAATACAGTTTGCCTTTCATTTCGACCGGACTACTTTCAAATTGCTATGCCTCTCGAGAAATTTGAAAACCTAGCACCCACTGCTGCTTATAATTATTTTATTTCATTTGTATATTGTTGTCAGTATGGACGCAAAAAATGGGGCAGGGTATACAATTATTTCCCCAGGCCTACATACTGGATACGCGAATACCTTTCTTTCTGCGCATTGTATAATATTATTTAACAGACATAATGACTACTATAATATAGGAATAGAATCAATAATTGTTTTCAGAATGCCACGGTGGTCATTGAACACGACATTGTGACGTCGTGACGTTACATGACGACCGTAGTCGAGTATGTTCGGACAGAGCGAGTACGATCTCGAGCTTCCTTCGATCGTAGTACTGTGGTTCGTCGTCTCTCGTCCTTGTCATCCCTGATAAGACAAACATAATGTAAAGACGTTTTACACTTAATGAAGAAAAGTTATATGTATTTGCTTTTTTATGATTCACTGTCAGAAAAATGATGATTGTATTTATATTACTATTGTTATCGATAAAATGTGTACTTATTATGAATGCTGAGGAAAATCAAATCAAATCAAAAATCAAATCAAATAATCTACAAGCACTGACTCTACATTGGCACTTCACCACAATTCCAAAGGCCTTGAGCAGAGCCTAGATATGTCAGTCTCTGGCTCGGCTAAAGTACGGAGCCTATATTAGTCGAATATTGCATACGCTGTTACACATAACGACTGACAAGGGTTTGTGCATGTTCACTAACCTATACATGCTAATATTAACAGGACTCGATTTCATGGATGCTCATCTGGCGGCCATTTTTGTATTTGTCCAAAATGGTAGCGCCCGTCAAAAATCAAAATGTATGATTTGGTCGACATCTGGGCCAAATTCGATGCTTTTAGAACAAGCTGCACCAAACTGCCCCTACATATTGCCCTAAAATCCCCCGACTGTAGTGACATTTAAGAAATGAAGAAAGAATAGTTTGTTCACCTCCAGATTTCTAGGATTGTCTTATTCTTTTTCCTCTGTTCTTCTGTGATTGGGTAGAATGCTAGGGCGATGAAACCCAGGACGGTGCAGCCCATAGGCACGGCTGAGACGAGGATACGGAGAGTTAACTGGACAGATTCGGGTTGAGCACACGCCCCTGATTCGTAGCCAGATGCCCTTCAATGTGAAATAAACAAACAATCATCAAAAAGTATTTAAAAACTAGGAAATATAATAACATTTAAAACACATAATATATCTAAACTAAAATTTCATTGGTCTCTCGTCACAATGGTAAAAGTTCCTGATGTTCTGTGTCTCTTGGTTCTGCGTTCAAACGGTGCTAAGTCCATCGATCCCACTTTCTGGCGCTGTTGTGAGAAAGTGGCCCAGTGGTAGAGCAGTGGTCTTGCAACCGAGCGGTGCAGGGTTCGAAACCAAGTCAATATGCTCGTGCCCTGTGGTAAGCCATTAATCCTCCTTACCAAGTCCTTTAGAGAGGATTTAAATCCGTCAGCCCCATGGTAGTTTACTTACAAACTAAGTATATAAACAGTTACATACTTTCTTAGCAGTCAGGTCAAACAATCATCAACCAATCTTTATTCATATTAGTCTTCCGTTTGATTCGTCTTTAATTACTCATCGGTCTGATGAAACCTAACCCCAAACAGGGGAAATCAACGAAAACAGAATGCATGGACCACCTCCCCCACCCCACCCCCTTCTTATCAGCAGCCTTGTAAATTTGCAATTCGTATTCTACACCCCCCCCCTCCATCGTTCCAGCGCCCCCTCGACTGACGGAAGAACGCTACGCCACTGTTAGGTTCAGTGTGAAGGTTTATTACCGTCTAGTCTTCAACCAGCTCGTCTACTCCCCAAATGGTATATTGCTCATTTAGTCCATGGAGTTACTAACCTTAGGCTAGCAACTCCATGATAGAACCAAGAGACACATAACCAATTGAACTTGAACCATTGTGACGTAAGACCAATGACATTTTTGTTTGAATATATTTAATATGTGTTTTACATTTTTGTAAATTTAGTAACTTCGTGTTTAGTCTAATTTCCATTCGGTCTAATTCCGAGTATCCATATGGTCAAATAATCGTTTAATCATATTTAATAATAATCATCAAATGATTGTTACACCTTATGGGTGGTAGACGAAATTGGCATTAGACAAACTGGGAAATAGACTAACTGATCCTTAAACTAAATGAACAATAGACCTAATGGTAGTAGAATAATCGGTCATTAGACCATATGATAAATAGACGAAATGATTATTAATCCATGTGGATAGTAGAGGGCTGGGTGTAGACCAAATGGGAGTAGACTAAGTGGGTAAAAGACGAACTGGTTGTAGACCGAACGGCAATTCACCAAGATGAAGCAGGCCCCCCCCCCCCCACTCAGTGTTATTTAGGGTACGCATATGCGTGTTCCCAGCACCCCCTCCCCCCCCCCCTTCAGCATAGGTCCGGTGTGTAAAGTTAATACGGGTAGACCTTTTTCTTTTGTTATACGAGCATTTTCAGCACCCCCCCCCCCCTTTCAACATAAGTCCGGTGTGTAAAATCAATACGGGTAGACCTTTTATTTTATTACGAGCCGGAGATTTTGGGAACACCCAGGCGCGGATCCAGGATTTCTTAGGGGGGGGGGGCCCAAATTTGAAATCATGCGAGCCAAATATTGGTACGTTATGGTGACCAGCAGTGACGTATTTGGGGGGGGGGGGTGGGTGCAGGGAGGGGCGAGTTTCCCCCTCCCTCCTCCGCGAAGCGCGGAAGCTTTGACATTTCAATAAATTATTAGAGAAAGAAGACGATTCGTTGTACCGTTCCCAAATATAATCCTCGTCTGAATTATGTTTCCTCACCTCCCACGCGAAGCGCGGAAGCTTTTACGTTTCATTAAGAGAAAGAAGACGATTCGTTGTGTCGTTATCGACTCTTAATCTTCGTCTAAATTCAGTTCCCCCCCCCTCCCGCGCAAAGCGCGGAAGCTTTTACGTTTTATTAAATCATTGGCGAAAGAAGACAATTCGTTGTAGGCCTACCGTTATTACTTTTAATCCTCGTCTAATTTCATCTTCCCCCTCCCGCGCGAAGCGCGGAAGCTTTTACGTTTCATTAAATCATTAGAGAAAGCAGACGATTCGTACCGTTCTCGACTCTTAATCTTTGTCTGAATTTCAAAAATGTTCTTCGTCTACTCCCTTTTCTTCCTACGTCCTTTTCCTTTTCACTCCTCTCTTTTTTGGCCGGCGTTTTGGGGCCCCCCTCTGTGAATATAATGCATTTAAACGCAACGAATTTTCTTTTGGACCAATAAAATTGAATTTAAGAGTTCAATATTGTACCCCCAACAAATCTGAAACAAATATAGATATGTGACTCAAAGTGATATACCGGTTTTTTACCGATATACCTGATAATAATATAATATGTAAAACATGGGAAAAAAACTGTATTTATTGTTAGGGTTAGGGTTCGAGTTAGGTTAATACGGACCTTGGTTTCCTAGGGTAACGCAGGGGCCCGGTGTCCTAGGGTAACGCGGGGCCCGGTGTCCTAGGGTTAGGGTTAGAGTTAGGGTAACGCAGACCCTAGTGCTAGGAACCAATAATTGCTTGACTTTGTAAAAGGCATCAAATTAAAACAGCAAATTTAGGGGCGAAATTACCAAAAAAGCTGGGGCGAGCTGACCAAGAATCCCAAAATCGACAACAAAAAAAATTGGGGGGGGGGGGGGGGGAGGGGGACATGACCAATTGAGGGCGACTTTGTAATGGGGCGGACCGACATTGGGCGACCTGAAATGGAACCGCCTGTATAGCCTACCAGGCTCACCTAAAATTCTTGCGTTCGCATTGTTTCCTTCTTCCTCTCCCAACCTCCCTTTCTACGCCTTTGATTTCATACACTCATTATGCTACCAGCAAAAGTTTAAGGAATAAAGCGACAGTCGAGTTCAAGTAAAAAGATTGGAGCTTTGCGTCGCGTGATTCTTTTCATTTGTTTTGATTGGCGTGTTGAGGTCAAGAGATATCTCGACCCTTTATGGTGGCTCCAATTCGAGCTCAAGGCTATGAGTGTGTAATCGTAGACACCTCTAGTATAGAAAGCTCGAAACAATATATATAATCTACTTGTTAACATGTAGTTCAAGTGAACAAGTGAACAGGCGCGGATCCAGGATTTCTTAGGGGGGGGGGGGCCCAAATTTGAAATTATGCGAGCCAAATATTGGTACGTTATGGTGACCAGCAGTGACGTAATTGGGGGGGGGGGTGGGTGCAGGGAGGAGCAAGTTTCCCCCTCCCTCCTCCGGGAAGCGCGGAAGCTTTGACATTTCAATAAATTATTAGAGAAAGAAGACGATTCGTTGTACCGTTCCCAAATATAATCCTCGTCTGAATTATGTTTCCTCACCTCCCGCGCAAAGTGCGGAAGCTTTTACGTTTCATTAAGAGAATGAAGACGATTCGTTGTGTCGTTATCGACTCTTAATCTTCGTCTAAATTCAGTTTCCCCCCTCCCGCGCAAAGCGCGGAAGCTTTTACGTTTCATTAAATCATTAGACAAAGCAGACGATTCGTACCGTTTTCGACTCTTAATCTTTGTCTGAATTTCAAAAATGTTCTTTGTTTACTCCCTTTTCTTCCTACGTCCTTTTCCTTTTCACTCCTTTCTTTTTTGGCCGGCGTTTTTTTGGGGGACCACCCCACCGCCCCCCCCCCTCCCCCCTGGCTACGCGCCTGCGGTCAGATGAACATTATGTTGATACCTTGTCTGCCCCCGGAACTCAGGGGTTTAAAGGCACACTGCACTACTTGTAGCTACTTGCGCCCTCTATATAACAAACAATGCGTAATCGGTGACCATTGGTCCCCCATGATCCTCTTTTTCTTATGTTAACTGAGAGCTGAGTTGATGAGATAACCACCTGTTCAGTGACCTTGCAGGGCGGTCTAATCCCTCCTGTAAACTATGGCAGATAAGCTTTAAGGCAATAATTTACGGTCAGATTAGCATTCAGGGGTCCGCCTTTGGGCCCTAGGCGGGTCCAGGGAGCAGAGCCCCGGAAGTTTAGGGGTTTTAGGAATTTTATTAAGGTCAGATGAGCATTGTTTTGATACCTAATTGTGACACTGGCAGGTCACTAATTGGCGTGGGGTTCAGGGGGCGGAGCCCCCGGAATCTCAAGGGTTTTAGGCACTCAATTACGGTCAGATGAGTATCAAGAGGCCCGCCCGTTAGGGCTCTTGGTTAGGGTCAGGGGGCAAAGCCCCCGGAAGCTCAGGGGTTTTAGGCGTTTAATTACTGTCAGATGAGCATCTAAGGGCCCACCTTAGGGCCCTAGGTGGAACCCAAGGGGCAGAGCCCTCGTGGTTTTAGGCATTTAATTTAATCATGGTCAGATGAGCAAATTTTGATACCTCATTATAATGTGACACTGGCATTTAACTATTTTTTCTTTCTTGCTCTCTTTCTTCGAGGATCCCGATCCCCGCCGTTCCGCGGGCCGTGACATGTAGGCATCTCAAGAAGCATTTTCTTGCCTGGCTATAAATTTAGGAATTTGTCATTTTCCAACAAACGCATAAAAAAGTACAATTTACTTAAAAGTGAGGAAAAATTGGGGAAAATTATGTCAATTCTGCATTATTTGTAAACCACCGTTATGGAATTAGAAAAAAAAAAACACGTTTGAATTTGATTTCCCCAAAGCCCCCCTCCCCTATCAGTACGTCAGTGCCCCCCCCCCCGATTTACACCTTGTTGACGAGAAAATTACAACTGATATCCCTTACCTTTCTTCATTCTCTGTTTGTTCTTTCCCTTTCTCTCCTCTTTCCCTTTCCCTTCCCTTCCTTCTCTCTCTTTTAGGTTTGCTGGGGGGGGGGGGGGCAAGGTCATTTTGGCCCCCACTCCGCTCCACACATTGTTGACTGATCTCCCCTTCTTTTCTTCTTCCTCTTTTTTGTTCCCTTTTAGCTCTCCTCTTTTCCTTTTCCTTCCTTCTCTCTTTGTTTAGCGGGGACGGGGGGGGGGGGAGGCAAGGGCCTTTTGCCTCCCCTCGATCCACAACTTGTTGGCGGGAAAATTGCAACTGATATCCCCCTTCTTTTCTTTTCTTCTTCCTCTTTTTCCTTCCCTTTATCTCCTATTTTCCTTTTTTCTTTCCCTTTCCTTCCTTCTCTTTTATTTTTTGATTGGAGGGGGAAGGTTGGTCCTTCCCCCCCCCCCCCCCCCGATCTCCTTCTTCCCTCTCTTCTTTTCTTCTTCCTCTTTTTTCCCCTTTCTCTCCTCTTTCCCTTTCCCTTCTTTTCCTTTTCTCTCTCTCTCCTTTTTTTCCCTTTTTTTTGCGGGGGGGGGGGGGGGCCAAGGCCCGCTCGCCCCCCCCCCTGGATCCGCGCCTGTGCGGTCCTTCCGATCCCTGGGGGGCCGGGGAAGCAAGACGATTTCTCGAACGAGCTGACTTACCCCAGGGCTAAGGTAGAGACAGCGAGTGCGCAGCCGGCTCCCATCTTGGTAAACATGACGAAAAACGAATAAAAAACTGCTTCGTACGTGCTCCCTGTCTTGATGACGAAGTCGTCAATGACATCGGGAACCATCGACCTAGAGAAAGAAGAGATATGGTAATAATAATAATAATGATAATAATAGTAAACATTTGTAATGCGCCATGTCTGTCGTAATTGACACTCTTGGCGCAATTATGGGTATACATCTATGTATGCTATAATTGGTTTGAATGGTATACTTGTGGGTATATATCTTTGAAGAAATTCAAGGAAAGAAATCAAAATACATAATAATATGATATAATTATGATCTTTTTTACCCAGTATAACTCCATCTGCACATCTTCACTAATAATGATAAAATAATGATAATAATAATTACAATAATAATAATAAAAAATTCCACAAATTCTTTTTCATTTCTTTGTTTAAACAAAATAATGATCCTACATGTTTGGATTCTAATCGATTGTGGATTTATAAATCCAGTGGTTTGTAACCTACCATGGTACAAGCATGACGACTGCTACGGCATTCCCAGCTAACACACAGAATAAATACAGAGCCCATGTATTGCCGGGTGGTAGGAAAGCATGTCCAAAGAACATCGGGATGTTTGCCTATGTTTGGGATAATAATACTGATAATGATACTACTACTACTACTACTACTAATACTACTACTACTACTACTACTACTTTGATTACTACTAGAGAACAGAAAATAATAATAATAATATGGAATAATAATAGAGAACAGAAAATAATAATCATAATAATATGGAATAATAATAGAGGACAGAAAATAATAATAATAATAATCATATGGAATAATGATAGAGGACATAAAATAATAATAATAATAATATGGAATAATGATAGAGAACAGAAAATAATAATCATAATAATATGGAATAATGATATAGGACAGAAAATAATAATCATAATATGAAATAATAATAGAGGACAGAATTCAAGGATATTAATTGGTGTGGGGGGGGGGGGGGGGGGGGAGGGGGGAGGAGCCCAGTGCAATTATAAACTGTAATGCTTCCGTTTAATAATTGCTAATGCACACTCTGATTTTAAGAATCTGCATGTTAAAGATTTCATTACTTTTTACGTGTAGAATTAACAAAAATGAATTTCAGGTTGGTTTCACCATGCTAACAATTGATGGAGTTTGATGAAGCCCTCCTGGTAAACAAGATTATACGATATTATTCGTTTTTCTGGGGGAAATAGGCGTGCATTTACATATGCTGCATATAGTTAGCCCCTACAACAATCTGATGGGCATTGTAATGCATTTTTATCAGATTTTTTTCAATTAAATATAGTAGTCTGATAATGAAGATGAAGACAAATATATCAACATTTTTATCTTTTTCAAAACTAAATAATACCTGATATCAATAAAATATATTAATTATATCGATAAACTCACCAATGTTCCAACGAAGAGGGCGGCTTTCTTTCCGAATTTCTTTAAGAATAACTGCCACAGAGGCATAAGGGCGAATCCGAAGAACTGAAATGGGAAATAACGGAGGAAAAGATAAGTACATAGCCGACGGAGGTATATGATAAGAAAGTCATTTCACGACATATCCATGTATATCATGTTGATTTGGCTTTGGGTCTTAAGCGAGTCTTTACGGGCCTATAGTCTTACGGCCATAGTCTCATCCTGTGTTCCGCGGGGTCCCTGTCCACGCAATAAAGTAGATGCTAAAATTTCAAATTTCAAATTTTAGCACCCATACTCTTTAAACTATAATCAATTCAATTCAAATTAACATTTATTTTCTTCCATTCAATTTGACAACATATTTGACAATTGTTCAAACAATACAATTTATACTTAGGAACATAATACTTGTATTACAAGGAAGAAGGCGCAAAACCCGGTAAGCAGTAGGCATGTGAGAGGAAAATATATGTCAATATATGTAAAAATATGTGTACATATATGTAAATATATGTTAATTTATGTTAATATATTATGTACATATATGTAAATCCCTGTCAATTCAAGTCAATTGCTCAGTGCGTAGACATAGGGTTTCCCATCAATAGAAATCATGGAAAAGGTGATAAAGACATGACCTTTGACACGATACACTTACGATGATGACGATGATAAAGTTTTGATAGGTTTCTTCTTTCATCGCATATTTGATGAACAGTGCGTAATTTCCCTGGATTGTCTGTTAAAAAAGAAGAATAGAATTAAAAGATAGATAGAAAAAGGTTTATAACAAACCAAAACTGTAAATCTAAGCATATCAGGAGCTCTTGTAGCGCAGTAAAATATATACCTAATGTTGGATGGCTTCTGCGCTCTATAAATGTATTATTATTATTATTATTATTATTATTATTATTATTATTATTATTATTATTATTATTATTATTATTTAAAACATTTATGGCTTTCGCTGTCATTTAGATATATATTTTTAGAGATTCAAATATAATAACGTAATTTATTTAAAAGTCAAAAGGATTACGAACCTATATGTCAAAATGACGTTCTTATGGATTTTTCATTTTATTTATTTTTAAAGTTCTGAATACATAATAAAATCAGTATACATTAAAACATACATGAAGAAATTTATTTTAAACAGAACTTGCCAGGGCTCCAAGGTAAGCAAGTATTAATGCCTTGTGAGTCCTGACAATTGAGTACATGTACAGGCAAAATCAATAAATTAGGGGGTTCCTGGTGATCAAAGTATAGCAAAGATAATTGATAATGATATTGATTATGTTTGTTGACGCCGTAAACTTCAGGTATTGGAGGTGCTGCCTCCATCTCTGATTCATTTAAAGTGTTAACACAATGTAGAAATACACCAAATGCTTTATTGTTAAAGTTTCACGATTAAAATAACATGAAATAATTTGCAGAGAGCTACATTTACGACGAAGTGCTGTTTAATACTTTCACAATCTGCTAGTATACTAACTTCGGTGTAAAGGAGATTCATACGTGTGCTCATCGACTTCGTTTTTATCACTAAATGGGGGGGGGGGGGGGGGGGGGGGTAGTGGTATAATGGTTGAAACACCTCTATTAAAAAGAAAACCTGTCTTGAATTTATTTGTCATATTTAATGACCCTTTTCATTCCCTCTTGTCCCTCTTCCCGCTTCTCAAGCATTTCTTTCTGCACCTCGTAGGTATAAAAAAACACTCAGTAACATTGCCTCAGATTCTGAAACAAAATCCTGGATTTCCCTCATAATTATAAACCTTTAGGTCAGTCAGGAATCCCATGACTTTTACAAGCCGGTCGCCTGTCTGATTATCAAGATATTTATGATTGGAAATCGAAATTTAATCTTTCATTTTCCTAACGGTTTTTATAAACACTACAGTCTATTGGGGGAAATGAATATGGTAAAACCGGTTACTCATTTTTTTTTTTGAGGCACTTCATGATCATTTTGATGCGCAATTTGTTGGGGGCTTCAATATTACACCATATCACAGACACTCATGACACGCAGGGTCATGTATCTCAGATTTAACATTGTTAAAGGATGCCTTTAAAATGATCGGATGACGCCTAAATACAAGTATAAAGTTCCTTACCATGACCGATAGGAGAAGACACAAGAATGAAAACATCAGTGTGAGGTAGGGTTTGAAAGTCAAAACCATTCGCAATCCCTTAAAGAAGTTCTGCTCCTCTTCGTTATCTTTCTTCTTAACTGACAAAAAATGAGAAGAAGCGATACGTTATGTTGTTGCATGGGGATGGATGGGATCGATGAATGGACGGAGAGATATACAATTATGATGAGAGAGAGAGGGAGGAGGATGCATGAGGAAGAACAACAAAAACAACCACAACAACACAGAAAAAGAAGAAGATGAAGAAGATGAATAAGAAGATAAAGAGAAAGAAGAAGAAGAAGGAGAAGAAGAAGGAGAAGAAGAAGAAGAAGAAGAAGAAGAAGAAGAAGAAGGAGAAGGAGGAGAAGAAGAAGAAGAAGAAGAAGAAGAAGAAGAAGAAGAAGAAGAAGAAGAAGAAGAAGATGTAAAAGGAGGACAAGAAGAAAAAGACGAGAGGGAGCAGA